GAGCAGGGCATATCTCATAAATTGTGGGACATTACGAAAGATATAGGGTTTCAACATCCTTGTACACAATTTACTGTTTTCTGAAAAGATCTAAACATTAGGCTCAGAAGAGCTGAGGCACGTTTTTTATAAAGGGTTATCCCACCTATTCAGCTAAATTCAATGTATATGCGGCCATCAAGCAATTAGCTAATCAGTCAATCTTTTAATGAAAGAATTGCATCCCAACATTTTTTCCGTACAGTTTTAGTAAAATGCCAAATTCGGATGTCTTATAAGTTTCCCTCAGTGTAGTTGGTAAGCGAAGTCAAGCGGTTGTCTACGAAGGGTGAATTGTAATCGTAAAATATTTAGCTTTTCTTCAAAATAACAGAAATTGGCGCGCTGTAACTGCACTTGCCGCGTCGACTGTACTTCTATATCCGTCGGCTACTACCGTTTCTCAGACATCTAACGTCTCAATCTGTTTTCTGCGCATCTCGCGGCTCAAGCTGGATTTACCCACCTGTACCTTATTACCTCAGGCAATCACATTGTCATTGTGACCACGAATTTGGTTAAATTTGGGGTTGTTTTACAAAAAACAAACTAAACAAGTAAAAAATCCCGGGATTTCTGGTTCCATTGACAGCTACGCCAGAAATTCCTGGTGATTTCTGAGGCAACTGATTCTTCGTTACCTAATCTGTGATCTAAACAGAAACTTGTTTCCTGTGAAATTGGAGGCATAGATTCCAAATTCAGTGTTGGCAATCAGCAACATTTCCTAGAGTGGAAAAAGTTTCATGTCCACTGAGGAAAGAAATACCGTCAGCTAAGCAAAATTAAATAAATCAAAATAAGATAGGTATTTATTTGCAAATAAAGAAGCTTCAAGGTCGTACAGGATAATTTGTAACTATGCGCAAATAATTCTTGTGTAACTTGAACCATCTCCGAAAAGTTTCCACTAACATATTAGTGAGTAATGAAAAATGAGGTCAACAATCTGATTTGGTTTCCTACCGGTGTAAGCAACGCTTCAGCGTCAAAAAAATAAACTGCGTAGACTTTCATAATATTTCCGTGAAAACGTACGTTGTAACTTTCATGCCAACTTTTCCATGTTATGACTCAGGACAAGTGGAAAGGAACAATAAGTCCTTTATTGAACATAAATAGGTGTTTAAAATTATTAATAAATTCAAATAAGCTTGAAACACAGACATGAAACGTAGCGAAAAAAATGGCATCCAGTAAATTGACTCTGTACTTCCTACGCCGATTGATTATATTCCTCCTACACCTTAGTTGGAGGTTTCAATGAAAAGAGATGAGTCAAATCGTTTCAAAAGGCGAAATCGAATCGTGATTAGGTATATGAAACTATACAGTGTGTTCAAAAAATAGAAAGATATTTCCTTGTTAAAAAATATGAAAAAATGTTTCAATAAACATGGGTTCGGAAATGCAGAGCTATCAAGATACAGGGTGATAAATTATTTTGTAAATAATATCTTAAAAAATATTCACTCGATTCTGTTGAAATTTGACAATATTATTTGTTGTATTAAGAGCCTAACTTAGCCATAAATAAATTAAAATGATTAGGTCCAGTGGCGTCCTGGGGTCATCTTAGCGAATTTATTGGCAAAATATACGCCGCTGCCGTTTTTGTAAATTTAATATTAGCTGTTTGAGTAAGCATCTAAAAACATGCATGTAATGTATGCACGTGCTTATAGTAACTGTTATGCAGCTAGGCGCCTGTATGCAAAGGCGTTTCCCCATCGGCAACTTCCAGATAGTAAGACATTTGAAAGCGTAGACTATAGGGGAAAGGGGAAAATTTTCTTACTTCTTTTTCGTGATGTTTTTGACAATAATGTTATTTAGGAAGTTTTCCCATTCCCACCAACGATAGAGGTCGGCCAGGGTTCGTAAGAACGCCAGAGTTTGACGAGACAGCTTTAGGTGCCGTGGAACAAAATCCTGGTATCAGTACCAGGACTATAGCAACTAGATTAGGGGGTAATCATTCCAACAGCACTGTGTGGCAGGTTTTCTCCAAGCGACTTTTGTATCCCTATCATGTCCAACGTGTGCAAGGATTATTACCAAGAGATTTTCTACCTCGTTTACAGTTTTTGCCAATGGTATTACCAAAATGTTAAGAATATTAGGAATTTTAATAAAACCACACTTTTTATGGACGACGAAGAATTTCGGCTGGATGGTATTGTTAATTACCATAACAGTCATGTATGGGTTGACGAAAATTCTCATGCTTACGTACAATGTCGCCACCAGGAACAATTTTCTTTAAATGTGTGGATGGGTATTGTTGGTGAAAATTTGGTTGGTTTTTTTTTTACTCTCAAGATTGAACGGCGAATCTTACTTAGAGTTTGTTCAACAAGAATTGCCCGTACTGCTAAAAGAAGTTCCTCTAAATATACGTAATCAAATAACTTTTATGCACGTTGCAGCTCTTGCTCATTTTAGTATAACTGTCAGAGCTCATCTCGCCTTTGGTGAAAATTGGAAGAGGAGGACCAATTTACTGGCCACCTCGCTCCCCTGACTTAAATCCGTTAGATTTTTATTTATGGGGACACCTTAAGACGATGATTTACTCTACTCCCATAGGAACAATAGAAAAATTAAAAAATGAAATGGTAAATGCTTGCGAAGAAATAAGAAATAGACCTCGAATTTTAGGTCGAGTTCGTCGTTCAATAATTCGTCGAGCGAGAAGGTATACGGAACTGGATGATGGTCATTTCCTATATATGTTTCAGTATACTTTATGTCATGTTACCTATTGGAAAAGTTGCAATAACACTCTTTGTTAGAATTTTTTTAGATTTTTTATTTTCCAAGGCACTTGTGATTTTTTAGCAAAAATTAATAAACCAATTTTGTCCAGTGACATGCAATAAGACGGTTTTTATTTGTTTTCTCGAAAAAAGTACAGGTGGCAAAGAAGATATTATAATATTAAGGTTACAAAAAGGATAGTGGCATTCTTGCCAATAATATTCGTTGAGGTGCCCCCCGGGACGCCACTCGACCTAATAATTTTAATCTGTTTAGGGCTAAATCAGCCTCTTTGTACAACAAATAATATTGCCAAATTTCAACAAAATCGAGAAAATATTTTTCAAGATAGTAATAAAAAAATAATAAATTTATTACCTTGTATTTTGAAGACTCTGCATTTCCGGACCCATGTTTATAAAAACTTGTTTTTATATTTTAGTTTACCATATACAGTAACACGATGTTCCAGTGACTTTATTTCCGCAGCCTCTAAATCAATTTTCAAAATGTACTATACGATGGAAATATTAAATTAAAATATGAACTTTGGTTCACAGGCTTCTGTTGTTTAAATATATCTTCATCACACAAGTCCGTGTTTCTCATTTATGTCAATTTGTCAGTCCTTGTCTGTTGTGTATTAATGCGTCCTAAGTACTCAATCTACTTAACGAAATATTCAGGAAACGATCATAGATGGAGAACACAAATCATAGCTTAGACGAAGTGGGTGGTACATTTAAGGATCATAAAATTCAGAAACATAAGTAGATATAAAAACAATCAAGTCATCATTTACAAAAGCATCGCAAAACTCCTAATATGGAAACATAAATATATCAATTTCGATTTTTTTTGTGATTACAATACTTCCTCGTCAGTTTTGGCACAGGAAGTAAAACGTACCCTTACTTGCTTCTTTTTAAAGAAAGGGTTCAGGCGATAGTTCCAAACGTAGCAAATTCACTTTTTGTGTATCTGCTTTGCCGATTTTTTTACTTTCAATGTCTACCAGTCCACTAAATATCGCAAGCGCACTAAGTACTTAATAATTAGGTAATTAAGTAAGTGCTTTCTGTTACTTATACCATTCACAAAAAAAAATCGTATGGATTAAAAAGTATAACCAACTTTTTAATCTATCTGTAATATTGATTCATTGTGTCATTTTCTGTAGATGGTGAAAAAAAATGGGTGCCTAATTATAGAATAGACTAAAGACGTCCTTTCAGAGTAATTAAAAATTAATTAAGGCTTCTTTCGACTCATTCTATGACTGGCAGATTTCTTCAAAGCGAGTTATAAATCACTGCCTGTTGCAATATAAAGAAAGCGTATTTGTCATGCAACTCAGTTTCGAATCTTAAAGTATGTGATTTAAAGACTATTGAACACAGTGATAGTAATATCTCTCTTGTGAGTATCAATTGTTTGAAGAATCTTTCTTTAATTAATTCTTTAGGACCTATAAAACATGTTTCACTTTTCTCTAAAGTTCTACCCTGAGTTAGGTACCAGAAAATATTTAAACACCGAAAAATTAATTTTCCGAACATTTGAAATTCCTTGTTTTTGCTCCAGTAAAGACCTAGCCCCGAGTACTGCTCACATGTTTGGACTCTTTGGTTCTTGGCACTAACTTTATATCAACTTAGACAAGGCAAAGGCATCGGATTTGTAGCAGAAATTGTACGGCTAGATTTTTTTTCATAATCGTGTTTTTTGGTTGGCTTAACATGAATTTGTCAAAAGAAATGTTTTAGACAAATTACAAAAAATCGCCGCGGACTTTTTTTTCTTTTTCTCTCTTCCTATCTCTCACCATTTTCGAGACATTTAATCTCTGAAAAACTCTAAAAATAGTCATTTTGATGCTGAGAAGCTCACTCAAAAATCATTATCTTTGAGATTGCCAAATGTATATCTAAATCAAAGCTCTACAAAACCTGAAAGATTATTTTAGCCTTAGTTTATTCTAAAAAATGCGAAATTTTTCGAAAACATTTCATTGCAAATTTCAAAAGCATATTGATATATTGCTCCAATATTATTGTTGCGGCTTTTTCCCAGAGTAGCTTACCATGCTTTAGCTAAAAGCTTACGGTAAAATCCAATGATTTCTTGAATATTTTTCGCAAATTTGTGTGGGAAAATTATCGCAAACAAACCATGACGTAGATTCTCCGAATCTTTCAACGAGATCAGACAATAAAGTTGGATGGTTACCTTGCCTTTGAATTATTACGCTTAAGGAATTTAAACGCGGAGCAGGCTGTGCTCACAAGTATTTCGCTTTTGTTTTGCCTTGCTATACGTTGGTCAGAGTTCTTGAACTCAGACAAGGTTGCCAGCTGAGATAAATTTAAAGTGCATGTGAAAGTGCGACATTTTGAAAGACAAAGGGAAATGAGGCTTTTTCTCGTGTTGTGACAAGTGCTAGTGAGATTATTGTGGACTGGTTAATGCTTCTCGTCTCTTTTGATAAGCAAAATAGTAAGTTCTGGTACTTTCTAAGCCAAAAAAGTTTTCGATCTCCACCGTCGTGTTTTTTATGACCGCAAAAAATACATTAGATAGATCTTATGGGGCACCTGCTGCTGGTATGCACTGAAAATAAAATGATCAGGGTAGGAACTTGAAATATAAGCTTTTCAAATCATCTCCTGTATTTTTACTTCCCACGCAACTGGCGAAGAGAAATTACAATCGCGAACAATTTCAAAAATGAATTGTTATTTTTTGGATGTATGAATACGTACATCAGCAAATATTGTCATGCATTTTCGTTGGTCTGTCGTCCGCTAATCGGTCTATAACTTGGGAATTACCGCTCGGATTTTGATGAAATCTTCACACAGGGTTACATCTGTGCCCAGGACGAAAAAGCTTCATGGTTTTTGAAAATCCATCCAGTGGCGTTGCAGTTTTAAGTGACAAACGGCGTCAAGTAGGTTGACTCTATACTTCCAAAGGGATGAATCAAGTCGTTTCAAAAGGCGAAATCGAATGGTGATTAGGTATATATATTACTATATCAAACTATATAAAGCAAATATATCATATTTCTGTTTATATGACCGGTGTAGGAAAGATATGTGTGGCTTATTATGTCTAACTGGTGAATAGTAACAGCAGCAGATTCTTAATTATAGAAGGTATTTCACACCAAAATGTCTGAAAATGAGCAGGAATCTCTGAAACGTTGTAACACTATGTTCTAGCGATTTTATTTCAGCCGCTTCTGGATCAATTTTCAAAATCTACGACTACTTAAATGATGGAAGTATTAAGCTCGCGATAATATTTGAACTTCGTTTCACAAGTTGTCTTTTGCTCAAAGATATCTGAATCACACAAGTCCGTGTTTCTCATTTATGTCGGTTTGTCAGTATATATGTAGACATAAAAACATTTAAGTCATACAACGTATTTGACTAATACTAAAGACGTTACATTTACGCCCGTGTCAACCCTCCTTTCTGCCGCACCCAGTACTTGTGATGTCTCACAAACATTTTTGTATCTATTGACCATGATGTCAATGCTGCATGTAAAAGGAGCATTTTATTTTTACTTCCCACGCCTACTGGCAATAAAATTTTCACACAATGTTGCTGCTATACCAAGAAAGCAACATTTCAGAGAAAAAACTTGAGGGTGGGGCTTGTAAGCGGGTGGGGAGGGTTCACCTCAATTTCTGGTAGCATCTATTCGGTACCAACATTGGTAGTTCATGGCACCTATTAGACACACACATCATAGATATTTCTGTACATTAGTCCTGAAAAATATTCTCGGGAGAGGAATCGGCTGCCCATCGACCCCTTCTGCTACTGGCGTCGTGCGCCGACCGTGATTATGTTTTATTATGAAATCACACGTATTTGTGCCTAGCAACAGCATAGTGTTTTCTATGCTCTGGCAACACTACTATGTCCAGGGTGCCACATCTGCCCGAGTTAGGTATCGGGGAGAGGCGACGTTTTCAGATGCACTACCTGCAAGGCAGTGAAAGAACGTGTATGAACTAATTGTATGACTGACTTTTTTCTCAGAGGGTCTAGTTCGTGCTGAACATATTCCTTTGTGCGTCGGAAGTGCAGAGTCAAGCTACTTGACGCCATTTTTTGATCTACCAGAAATATTTCCGGTTTTTTGAAATCATCCTGTATAATGAATAGATAACTGATTTATAGGTGTATGAAAAATTCTATACAAACAACAGAAGATTATAGGGTTATTTTCAATATTTGTTTCACTTTTTTCCCGTAGAATCATGGAAGACTCTCAAGTGGTGAGCTGGTATAAAGACCAGCATATTTTCGTAACTGGTGCCACGGGATTCATGGGAAAAATTCTTATAGAGAAACTTTTACGATCGTGTCCAGACGTTGGGGGTATCTACATTTTGGTTAGACAGAAAAAGGGTCAGAAACCTTCTAAAAGATTGCCGGAGTATTTGCAAAACGAGGTAAGTACCTACCTTAAAACATAGTAGTTAAAGTAGCATTAAATAAAATAAAAAAGTACATTTTTAAATACAAGCTTACATTCGGCTGTAATTGAAACAAACTAGAAACTGGAAATATTTAAACGATATTGAAGCTACTTCGTCTGAAATGTTAAAAACAAATCTGTCAGAACATAACACGCTGTTATTTGATAACTTTTGATGAAGGAGCTTCATTATCGTTTTAATATTTCCAATAGAAAAACATATTTTTAAATTTTTAGTTCGTTTCAAAAAATGTATTTTCCACTTTTTAGTATTTACGATGTCAAATAACAAGTTTGGTAATTTCTATATAAAGGGTTGTCCAAAACGGACGCAGGAAAGTAAACGCATATTAAAACAAGAAAGATTGATATTCAAATCAAGTTGGGTACTTTATTTTGAAGGTTCATTTATACCATTTATGTATGAAAAATAATATCGCTCAAATGTTCACCACGACTGGATTTACAGACGTCCACGCGATGGTCGAAATTTTCAATGACATTTTGCATCATGGTCGGCTCTATGGCATTTATCTCGGCAATGATGTTGTTTTTGAGTTCTTGGAGGGTGGCTGGTTTGTTGACGTAGATTTTGCTTTTCAAATATCCCCATAAAAAGAAGTCCAAGGGAGTGAAATCGCACGATCTTGGTGGCCATGGCACATTTCCTCTGCGCGAAATCACGCGATCACCGAAGAAGGACTGCAATCGATGGATATTGACGTTGGTTGTGTGGCATGTTGCACCGTCTTGTTGGAAATAAACATAGTCCATATCCATTCATTCAAGTTGCGGCAAAAAATAGTCCTCTATCATAACGTGATATCGCTCAGAATTGACGGTAACGGCGTCCCCGGCCGCATTTTCGAAAAAGTAAGGTCCGATGATGCCTTTTGACCACAATGCACACAACACAGTCACTTTTTGAGGATGCATCGGCTGCTCTTGATACTCACGGGGATTTTCGTTCGCCCAGATGCGGCAGTTTTGCTTGTTCACCGTCCCATTCAAAGTGAAATGCGCTTCGTCGCTGAACATGATTTTTGATGAAAAATTGGCATCAATTTGGCGGTGTTCAAGGAGCCAATCTGAGAACGTTCGTCGCGAAAAATGGTCGGCCCGACGCAGCTCTTACGTCAATTGGATCTTGTAGGCGTGTACATTCAAATCCTTGTGGAGAATGCTGAGCAAACTGGTTCTCGAAATGCCCAATTCTTGGGATCGACGCGTTGTTGATTGTTTCGGATCGTCTCTTACACTCTCCTTGACAACAGCAATATTTTCCGGTGTGCGAACGCTCCTTGGCCGGCCAGAGCCTGGCAGATTTGCCACAGAACCTGTTGCCTCGAATTTACGCACCAGACGACCGATGGTTGTTTCGTTTGGGTGGTTGTTGCGACCGAAATGTTCACGAAGCGCGCGAAACGTGTTTTTTATTTTTGCACCATTTTTGTAGTGCTCTTGGATAACTTTAATGCGGTCTTCAATCGAATACGACACATAGCGATCAATGGTAAACATTCAACTGAAAAAATGACATGTCGGTGACCGAAAACAAAGATGGCGTCTATGTCAAATTGACGTTTACTTTCCTGCGTCCCTATTGGACAACCCTTTAGTTATCATACATTTTATTAATAGGACTCCCTAAAATTTCATTTATTTGTAAGTATTATGAAATTTCGATAAATATAAATTACATAATGATAAATCGATATTTTACGGAGATTGCAATGTGGAATTCAAAATGACTTGATGTGTTGCTCACATCAAGCCCTTTCATTTGATGCCCATAGTATAGGGGTCACTTATCATGAGGTAAGCCTTCATAAAAATTTTATTTCCGATAGTCTTATTACGGGATTTTTGCCCTTACATAAAGCAAAGAGGTAATTAAATTTCTTGTTAGAAATATTTATTGATGAGGCAGGCGTATAGTGGCCTAACTGACATTTCACTATTTGCTGCGCCTCTTTTTAATTGAATAAAATCATAATCTTCTGTTAAATGGCTCGTCGTGAAAAATATCTTATCTTAGTGTATCTTGTTAACTTTAACTTCCATGATGTCTATCCAGTTAAGATTCTTCCTGCAGTTGTAGTACGTATGGATAAAATCCTCAAATTCTTAGACAAAGCTTTGAAATCCATGAAGTCTCTAAAAGTTAGGGGATATACCTTATACTTATACTTTCCGTCTTGCCAAATTGATAATCGGTAATAAATAGCTGACTCGGCTTTTTTTTTTTTTTGGTGAGGGGGGAATGCGTTTACGCACCATACCATAGCCCGAGCTACGGCGTGTGTGGGACTCCAGGTTGTCTTGAGGAGATCACCTAATACCCACTAAACCCTAAACCCCTGCGTGGCCCGACTCATCAGCGTCTCGGTAGGCCATGTGTTGTGCGTGACCTGCGGTCTGCTACAACGTCTCCTCATGTGTTTCAGTCTCTGGAAACGCCGGGTTGGTTCCCTTTACCTCGCACATTCTATCGATGTCGTTAAGCGATCATCGATAGAGGGTCTGCAAGGTTCTCTTGTAACTCTTGTTTTCGAAAAATCAAGAGTTTCAAGTCCTCTTACCCATATGTTGTTCCTGGTCCTGGTCCTGAAGGGTCCTGGTCCTGGTGGGTCCTGGTCGTGGCGGGTCCTGGTCCTGGTTGGTCCTGGTCCCGGTGGGTCCTGGTCCCGGTGGTTCATGGTCCTCTGCATCCACGCCGTGGGGGGGGGGGGGAGCAACCGCGGGTTCTCCTAGTCTCCTAGTCAAGGTTCCAGTTAGCGGGTGCCAATTGGGACCTTAGTCTAGGGTACCTGGTTCTGCGGTTGCGAGGCCTCTCGTCCGGATCGTAGTCCATGAGGAATCGTAGCTGCTCGTTCGGGTGGTCCTGAGCTTTCTCGAAGGTCTTCTCCGTTTTTTTCCTCATGTACTCGTGGATGGTTTCCCAATGCAGGTCTCTACGCAAGGTTGAGTTTCTTACGTAGGATGGTGCACTGGTGGCGATCCGGAGTAGCTTCATCTCTAGAGCAGCAAGTCGCTTGCGGTAGCTGGGGGCAGCGTACCCCCAGACCGCGGAGGCGTAAGCGAGCTGAGGTCTGGCGATGGCCTTGATCAGCCGTAGCTTGGTCGCTAGCGGCATCCGGCTGTGTCTACCCAGTAATGGTTAGAGTTGAGCCATGGCTGCTCTGGTCTTTGCGATGACAGCTTCTATGTGGGCTTTCCAGGTGAGGGACTTGTCAAATACGATCCCCAGATATTTGACTTTGTCGCTCCACTGGATATCTTCGTCGAAGATGGATGCTTCGAGAGGTCTTGCAATCCTTCTTCGTTGGATGAATATTGCCTGCGTCTTCTGGACGTCGATGCGGATTTTCCATTTCACGCACCAGTCCTGGATGTGGTCCAGTTCATCCTGTAGTCTCCTACGGATGATCTCGGGTCGTCTATGCTTGGCGGCTATAGCAGTGTCGTCTGCATATAGGGCCAGCATTGTGTCAGCTGTCTTCGGCACATCGTGAGTATAGATGTTGTAGAGCAGGGGGGCTAAGGCTGACCCCTGGGGCACGCCTGCTTTCAGCTCGGCTCAAAAATATCCCCTGCTTTTAAAATTGGATGAGGAATGCTGCTATGGCCATAATCCCCTTCATATTTTGTCCATGGTTTGTAACAAAGGATCTTAAAGTTATCTCTATCTCTATCTATCATACAGGAGCATAGCGACAACTACAGTGTTTTTATTCTGACTATAGCACCCATCAGAAAACAAAAAAACAACTTTTAAAATCATAGAAAGTGAAGTTCAGCAGTACAGCGTCGCGGTAGAAGGATTAGGGGACCAGAAGATCACGAACTGTCGTATCTGCAAATAAACTTAGATACGACAGTTCGTGACTTTCTTTGAATGCCCTAAGGCAGATTCGTTGAAACAAATATTAAAATTACTCCAAGTTGGTTGAGAATTCAGATACGACACTTTGTTAGAAGGAAGCTGCGACTTTATATCGCCTGGTGTAACTCAAAATTGCAAAAAAATTTCAGATATGACATTTCATGCGTTGGGGGACGTTTTGTGCTGGAAGCATGTTGTGGGTAACCGGTGCCTTCATCTTGCTTAAATAGAATCGCATCATATGCATGTTGCAGACTGTCAAAACGTCTGGCACATGGCATACCTTAATCCTGTCTTCATCATGATCTTGCCGATACAATCGCACGTTACACGTCTCTTCATGGAGTTTTGAGAATGTGGCTGCTAGAAGAGTCTTGCCTTTATTCTACTGAACTTAGAGCCATATCGTCAGTTGTTCCTACAATTGTAGGACGTCTTTATGGCCTCCTTGATTATTATAGTCTTTTCTCGGCCACCGCATTTGTAACAATTGGTTCAATAAATTTTTTTAAATCGACTCAGTCCTATTACTTTCTGGACAAACCCTGTATTTGTAACGTAACCAGACTTAGTACCAACTACAAAGCATTGAATCTTTTTTCCAGATTTTTGACAAGGTGCGAGCCTTACCAGATAGCATCAATCGGTTCCAAAAGCTGCACTGCATCTGCGGCGATATCACCGAAACAAATTGTGCCCTCTCCGATAGAGATCTCACTACCATAAGCGAAAAGATCACTATAGTATTCCATATGGCTGCTTGTGTCAGATTTGATCAACCTCTCAAAGACATAGTGATGATGAATGTTGGGGGAACTCGAAATATTTTAGACGTAGCTACTAAGCTCAAACAGTTGAAAGTTTTTCTGCACGTGTCAACATCGTATTGTCACCTGGATCTTCCCGAGCTAGAGGAGAAGATATATCCCGCTAAACACGATCCATGGTGAGTGAAAAACCTTATCAATAGATTCTAAAAATAATCATACAGTTCACCATACTGGATTGCCCGTAATTCGGAGTTTGGAGCACCACACGGCTCAATACTGGGGCCACAGGGATTCGAATCATTTATCAGCTACTTACTTTAAATGAGCTGTTTTGTTTTTGGGTTTCAATTGTCAAGACAGATGCTTAAGATATGATCTCGATTGGGTATTTTTAGGAAGATGCTAGATGCAGTACAGTGGATGGATGAGGAAATGTTGAACAGTCTAACTCCTGTTTTACTGAAAGGATATCCAAATACATACGCTTACGCAAAATGTTTGACAGAACAACTGGTGTCAGATTATTCAGAAAAAGTGCCTATCGTTATTGCAAGACCTTCAATAGGTAAGAAAACTAAATAATGATTATCTCCCAGAAAACAATAAGTTGTCGGAATTACTTATATATATATATATATAGAACAGAAAGTATTTATAAAGGCTATCCGAATCCGAATAGACTTTGTCTCCACATGAGATTTCTGCGGTTTTTTTTAAATCCTAAAGTACTAATACATTCAGCGTTTATTTTTAGACATTATCTCTAAGTACGATGCCCAGAACATTTGAGCTGGCCTACTTGACGATATTTTTTGTTGTGTGTGTAGTCGTAGCAGCATACAAGGAGCCAATTCCTGGCTGGGTGGACAACTTGAATGGGCCAACGGGGATTTTGATTGGTGCAGGTAAAGGTGTGATAAGGACGATGCATTGCAACACTCAGCTTGTAGCTGACATCGTGCCTGTCGATATGGTCATCAACAGTATGCTGTTAGCAGCTTGGGAACAAGGAGTTAGACAATTGAAGGCTGGCGCTGAAGTTTATAATATCACAGCTAACAGGGTAAGAATAGAGAAAATCCACTAAGATTTGTTTTATTGAAGCCTTATTTTAGCCACCAGTCAAATGTTAGGACTTAATATGCCTTAGGCTGCACTTAAGTTGGGATTTGACAGCTGCTTATCTTGATATAGCAACTCGACAAATTACCATAGAAAATTGTGTACAAGAACTTCACAGACAAATCAGAGTATCATGGCAAATTGTCCAAAATTTTACAAATTATAGTATGATTGGAAGTTGTGTACAAGAACTTCACACAAAGCACACTGTGTGACTGGAAATTGTGTACAAAAACTTTACAGATAGTATCATCGGAAATTGCTTAGAATATTTTCACAAACGCAGTGGAAACAGTAGAAAAATGATACTGACAAATAACTATTGCAAACTGTGTATAAGAACTAAAACCACAAATCATAATATTATTGGAAATTATATAGAAATCTTTACAGATAAATCATAGCATCATTAAAATTGTTTACCAAAACCTCAGAAATCATACAACCATTGGAAATTGTATACAAGCATTTCACAGACAATTATTACCATAAGAAATTGTATACAAAAACCTCACAAATCATACAGAAAAGAGAGAAAAAATCATAATAACATTGAAAATTGGGTATAAAAAATTAACAGACAAGTTATAGTATTAAAATCTTAAAAACTTATTACTAATTAGGAATCACAGATAAAAACTTCACAAACGAATCATAGTACCTATCATCGGAAATTGTGTACAAAAACTTTATGGACGCACCATAGTGTCATTGGAAATTGTGTACAGCTTCGCATAAATTATAGTGTGACAAATAGTACTGTTGGCGCCATCTGTTGGGAGAGTCTCCTACTCGCCAGAGCTTCATGGCCGATCTCAGCTTTTACGAGGACCACGACCGCACAAGCTGCTAGGCGGTGTCTGTGAGGACCGTGGCAGTGACTCGCCTTCTAGATCGACCCGAAGTGACCTCCAATATTCTAGATGCCCCTTTGTGGTTCACTAAACCTTTCTCGAAGCAGCAATGGGGACTGTATATAACTCGGCGACCGGGAGATGGAAGCCGAGTACAGATTACACCAGAGTAGAGCAGAGTGGAGTATATTCCAGTCAGTGGCGCGACATAAGAATTAGTTAGACATAAATAGTGGTGTACATAAATGTTCCATCTAGTCAAGATAAATAAATTAGTGCATTTCTTTTTGTGAAATTCAGTATTTTAATCCACACCCAAGAGAACCTAGAACATTGGTGTCAGGTGTGGGATGTGGATTATTGGACATTTAGTGAAAATAAATCGGACGATCGGTGAAGAAAGAATAGCGCGATTGGTTGATCTGAAAATTACCGGTTTAAAGAGAGAGCTGAAGGAAAGAGAGTGCGACATGGCTGGAAAGAAATCAGAATTACAGGAGCGGCTTCGACAAGCACTGATTGAGGAAGGTGAGGACCCGGATATTTTCATTTTTACCGGTGCAGGGGATATTGGTTTAATGCTGCAAAACCTTTCGAGCAAGTTAGAAAACAACTCGTGGAAAATTGTGCCAACCTAGAAGGAAGGCTCGTGGAAAATTGTGCGAACCCAGAAAGAAAACTCTTGGAGTTACCCGAAAGTACAGCCAAATTAGGGAAGAAGTTTTTGGAGAATACTGCCAATTTAAAAAAGAATGGGAAGATAAAAGTATGGAAAAATCTTGCGAATTGGAAAAACGGATTTTTGCTCTGGAGGACAGAATTCAAGAAGTGCAAGGCAAGTTTGTTGCTTTAGACGTCAAGGCCATCGACGAACGGCAGCGTGGATCTCCGTTGGAAAAATCAAGTGAGGTTGGAGCTTCTGTTGGCCGCAATTAGATGGTACAACGCCTTGGAATGTCTACCGATGTCTGTTTGAGGCAACCGCGAATGCAAATGGTTGGCCATCGATCGAAAAGGCAACTGCACTCACTTTGGCCCTACGAGGAGATGCTACAGCTATTCTTCAAAGAATATCACCCGAAGAGCAAGAGGTCTACGAATAACTAGTAGGACATTTGGAGATGCGCTATGGCCAGTCACATTTAGAACATGTCTACCATACTCAACAAAAGAATCGGTTTCAAAAGTCAGGCGAGTCCTTGCAGGAGTTCGAAGCGGATATCGCGCGGTTGGTCCGATTCGAATACCCCGATGTTCAGGAAAGGATAATGGAACGTGGCAGTTCAAGCGTTCCTGGATGGACCTCGTGATGGTGAAATGAGGCAAGCCTTACTACTAGCACATTCACCTAAGCTAGTAGATCCACTAACTCGGGCCTTAGAATTCGAAGCCGCTAAAAACACAAACAAAAGCCAAGTCCGAGCCAGATGGTACCAGGAGATAACGAGTTTGAAGAATCCGTCAAGCGCATTGTTAAGGAACTTGATGGTGAACGTCGCCGCCAGAACAGCAAGTTGGAATGTTGGAAATGTGAAAAAATAGGGCACGTTGTGAGACGCTGTCTTGAAGGCGCTAGTCCTCATTCGGACAATCCGGAAAATTAAGGGAGGTCGATGTGAAGGGACAGTTAATACCATCTAACTCTCCTCGCTTAAACATCAGTCTAATAGTGTTTTTGTCGATGCTTTTGTGAATGGGACTGTCCACACCGTACTGCTGGATACAGGTGCGACAAAGACTACCATAAGGGCCGTCATGGTGAAAGCATCGGCGAAGATTCGACCATCCAAGTGGCGGTTACGAACGACGACGCGAGACAACGTGTACGGTGAAGTAAACATCGCATTTGGAATAGGAAAAGCTACATTCAAACATCCGGCGATAGTAGCTGATATTGAGAACGAGGTAATAATCGGAATGGACATCATGAACACAACGGGCTTCGAGTTGAACTTTAAGCAAGGAATGTTGAAAGTCAACAATGAGGAGGTCATTTTACATTGGGAGAGGAATGGAAACGTACGAGTTCTATTGCCTGAAGACACCGTGATCCCAGAACAAAGCGAAGTTATTTTGACTGGCTAGGTAGAGGGCCAGACTACAGACAGAGAAATAGTCATGTTTGAACCTAGGATGCATGACGTTGCTATTGGCCGAGGCATAGCAGTTGCAAAGGCTCTGGGTCGAGCCGATAAAACTATTCCTGTGAGACTAATAAATGTCAGTCATTACCTTGTACCCTGTGTGATTGAAGAAGGGCTCGGAGCCGGGACACTGTTGTCCAATTTCTGCAATCATTCGAAATATGCCAGGGGTCATTCCTAAGGAACTGGAAGAACTAATATCGTCATCAGGACAGACCAAAGAAAGAAACTGAAACATCTAATACATAAATATCGGGATGTATTCGATACTGGACAGAAAGGAAGAACCAATATAGCCCAGCACAAGATTAATACGGAAGAGACCCGCTCCATGCGGCAGATGGCAAGAAGGCTCCTACTTGCTAAAAGAGAGGAGGCTGACAAGATCGTAGACAGTATGACCAACGAGGGAATTATTGAACCGCCCAACAGTCCATGGGCCTCACCGGTAGTTTTGGTTAAAAAGAAAGATGGTTCAACCAGATTTTGTGTGGACTACCGAATATTGAACAACGTGACCAAGAAGGACAGCTATCCTCCACCGAGCATTGATGACACTTTGGATACCCTGGCTGGATCAAAAATGTTTTCCAGCCTAGACTTACTGATACTGGTAGAATTGGCCCCTGAAGATCGGGAGAAGACAGCATTCACGGTGGGCACCGGATTATGGCAGTTTAATGTGATGCCATTCGGCTTGTGCAATGCTCCTGCCACCTTTGAAAGGCCGATGGACACGATTCTAAGAGGACTATCCTGCAAAACGTGCCTGGTTTACCTTGATGACATTATCGTGATGGGAAAATCGTTTGGGGACTACATGAAGAACCTAGAGGAAGTTTTCTTAGCGCTAGGAGGTTATGACTTGAAATTAAGCCCAAAAAAATGCCACCTGTTTCAAAGAGCTGTGCATTATCTTGGCCATGTTGTTTCCAGTCAGGGAGTCGCGGTCGACAAGGAGAAAATCCAGACTGTAAAAGAATGGCCAGTTCCGAAGGACAAACGTGAACTACGCAGCTTCCTAGGATTGTGTAGGTATTACCTACGTTACTTGGAAGGATTTGCTAGCATCACAAAACCATTGAACAGGCTGACAGAAGGGAAACGCAAATTCCGATGGGATCAGGATTGCCAACGAGCTTTTACCCATTTGAAAAAAGCTTTAACAAGCGCCCCTATACTCAGGTATCCACTGCCAGAAGGAAAGTTTGCTAGCAATGTGGGTATAGGTGCTGTATTATCCCAAGTTCAGGGAGGCAAAGAAGAGAAGCTCATTGGGTATTTTAGCAAAACACTGTCCAAATCAGAGCGTAACTATTGCGGTACCCGGAGGGAGTTGCTGGCCGTCGTAAAGGCAATGGAACATTTCTACAAATACGTCTCTGACAGAAAGTTCTTACTCCGGACCGATCACGCAGCTTTAAAATGGCTTCTCCAGTTTAAAAATCCAGAGGGTCAAGTTGCTAGATGGATAGAGAGGCTGCAAGAGTTTGACTTCGACATCGTACATCGAGCGGGAAAAATCCATGAAAATGCAGATGCCTTATCGAGGAGACCCTGTTTAGAGGATTGTAAGCATTGCCAGCGGGCAAAGGAGAAAGGTGCCCAAGTATTAAGAATTACTATCGTTAGTGATACTTAGCAAACTGAAGACCTCATTAAAGATCAAGAGGGCGACCCCGATCTCCAGATAATTCTAAACTGGATGAAACAACAACGAAACCAGCCTGGGAAGACCTTCCCTTATCATAAAATCATATTGGGTACAATGGAATTCTCTCGTTATGGACGACAGACTTTTACTGCGTAAAATGGTGGAACACGACGGCAAAGAGGAAAGAAGACAAATCCCAGATGTCGGATCCCGGAGCTGCTGGAAGAAATCCATTCCGGTGTATCAGGAGGTCATCTCAGAATTACAAAAGCCCTGGGAAAAGTGAGGGACAGGTTTTACTGGATCCATAGCAAGGAGGACGTGAAAGACTGGTGAAGAAAATGCGTTGTGTGTGCGGCAGGTTATGGGCCGCAAAGGAAACCAAAAGCTTCGATGCGCCAATACAACGTGGGGAGCCTCTTTGAAAGGATTGCTATTGATGTGACGGGACCCTTTCCAGAAAGTGAAGCAGGGAATAAATACATCATTGTGGTAATGGATTAATTCAGCAAGTGGGTTGAGGCATACGCTCTGCCAAATCAGGAAGCCTCTACGGTAGCCGATGCTTTAGTAAAGGAATGGATCCGTCGATTTGGTGTATGTACCTTTAGAGTTGCATTTTGACCAATGGCGCAATTTCGAGTCAAATGTGTTCCAAAGTATCTGTCAAATTTAAGAAGACCACGACTACTGCCTTACACCCGCAGTCAGATGGAATGGTGGAGCGTATGAGTAGGAGCATTAACCGGTATCTGGCTAAGGTAGTCTCTAGGCATCAAAGAGACTGGGATGGTCTTCTTCACCCCTTCTTATTGGCTTAAAGACCGAACAGTTATGGGAAGAGATCTTCGTCTCCCATGCGATCTAAAGTTTGGCTGTCCACCAGGAACTGATATTGCCGGAGAAGACTACTTAAGCGAGCTGCGGAGAAGATTGGACGCCATCCATAGCCAGGTTCGTGTTTCAAGTCAAGGTGCCAGCGACCGGATGAAGGAAGCTTATGACGTTGATGCAAAAGACCAGAGGTATGACAACGGTGATACGGTTTGGCTTTACGACTCAAAGAGGTGAAAAGGGCTGTTGCCTAAACTTCAATCATCCTGAGACGGGCCATATAAAGTTTTGGAGGCCATCAACGATGTTCTCTACAGGATTCAGAAGACATCACGCGGTAAGGCCCGAATTCTACATTTCAACCGCCTTGCACCTTATCATGGAAACAACGAAGATGTGGCGGTGCGGCAATTCCAACCAGAACCGTACATGACATTTGACCAATTTATGGCTCACCATGCTAATGGCATGAGAGCCGGTATGGCCGGGTGGGAATTACAGCAAGATCTGCTTACCACTTCACCAGAGTATGCTCTGGCACACTGTGTGGCTCAAGACTTGCGAATGTCGAGAGGTAAAGCAAAGGTTTTTCTTAGGAACTTTGGAAGAGTGCACGAGCTGCGAGACTCTAACCCGGAAGTCGGAAAAGTACTCCAGATAACTGAAGAGAGTACCAACCAAAAGATTTTCTATTTGGTTACCAAGAAAGCTTCGTATCAGAAACAGATTACGAAGATGTTTGTAACGCTGTGTGTTGCCGAGGACCTGAGAAAACTGGCAATATCTAAGCTGGCATGTGGACTGGACAACCTGGACTGGAGAATAATCCGAAGCATGCTTGAGGTAGTCTTCCGATATACAGGCATTCGATTTCTGGTATGTTGTCACAGTCCTAGACGGCTACCTCCTGGAAAGAGTGCGGATTGTTACTTCTTGAAGAACTGCTACGGCAAGAGAGGCTCTTCGTGCCGATATCGACATCCACCGCCAGTAAGATCATTCCGGGACGGAATGACTTTAGGGAGGGGCAGTGTGAAAATAGTACTGTTGGCCACATCTGTTGGGAGAGTCTCCTACTCGCCAGAGCTTCATGGACGATCTCTGCTTTATCGCGAACCACAACCGCACAAGCCGCTGGGCGGCGTCTGTGAGGACCGTGGCAGTGACTCTCCTTCTAGATCGACGCGAAGTGACCTCCAATATTCTAGATACCGCTTTGTGGTTCACCAGACCTTTCCCGAAGCAGCAATGGGGACCATATAATAACTTTTATTACACCAGAGTAGAGCAGAGTGGAGTATAGTCCAGTCAGTGGCGCGACATAGGAATTAGTTAGACATAAATAGTGGTGTACGTTAATGTTCTATCTAGTCGAGTAAAATAAAGTAGTGCATGTCTTTTTGTGGAATCCAGTGTTTTAACCCTCACCCAAAAGAACCCAGGAAAACGCTACAATAGTATCGCTGGGAATAGCATAGAAAAGTTTTGCACAAATTATAGTATCATTAAAATTTCTTACAAAAGCATCACAATCATTGGAAATTGGGCATGAAAGCTTCACACACGAATCTTAGTATCATTGGTGCTTTTTAACAGACAATCATCATCATTCGAAATGATTTCTGAAAACCTCAAGAGACACACTATCAGTGGAAATTGTGTACAAAAGGTTAACGGTTAAATCATAGTATCATTGCAAATTGTATAGGACAATTGAACAGACAAATTGTTTATAGTATTAGTATTGTTCACAAATTGATTGACGTTTTGTCGTGCTTAATTGTCATTCAACATGACGCTACTTCTAAAACAATCCCTGCTTCTAGGACCAACCTGTAAGTTGGGGCGAAGCATTGGAAATAGGAAGAAAATACGTGTTTCAGTATCCATACAGTACTTGCCTTTGGTACCCAGGAGGAAGCCCAAAGTCTAACTACATGGTTCATGTTGTAGCTGCATTTTTCTTTCATCTTTTACCCGCCTATTTCATAGATGTTATGATGTCCTTGACTGGAAATAAACCATTGTGAGTATCCCAACGTCAATACAGTATCATGGAGAAAGTATAGTTGGTAGAAACTAGATTTAAAATCTAAAATTTTAAAAATAGAACCTATTTTTTCACTCTTAACCTGAAAAACCGCTAGGATTTACTGCAGGAGAAAAAATTTTCTTATCTGAAATATTTAGTTACAGTACAATACTTTATACCTGAAATTATTGTTGTTGATTGTATTTTTCTCATTATTTATTATCCTGTGTATGTAATGTAATAGGTATAATGAGCCATTTATAGATATATTACTGTTAATCAAAATTATGTATTTTCCAATTACAGTATGGTCCGTACTCAAAAAAGGATTCAACATGGCCTAAACCTACTTCAATATTATACCACTAGAACATGGATATTCCACAACGACAGAATAAAAAAGATTTATGACAGTTTGAGTGAGAAGGACAAAGAGATATTCTACACAAATAGGGAATTATTGAAATTTGATGAGTTCATGTTAAACTATATCTTAGGAGCTAGGAAATATTGTGTCAAAGAGGAATACGATACTGTGCCATATGCTAGAAAAGTGCTAAAGAGGTATGTACCTATATTATTGCACAAATTATTTTTAAATGTTATGTGAAACGTTCTCTGCCAAACACACACATGGTGTCCATGAGCAAACTGGAAAAGATTATATTGTATATCAAAATACAGCTTCTAAAAACAAGAAGATGGATATCATATAACATATGCTTTCGATTGTCAATTGTTTAGATATTTAGTCACACGTCTAAAAAATGGCTAGCTTTGACGGCTCGCAGCTCTGCCATTTGTGAAGATATTTAGATAAACTTTAGTTCATAAAAATTTGATTTACATCGATGATCCGGAAAATGTGTTTTTTTTTGTGACGGGGGAATGCGTTTATGCACCTTACAATAGCCCGAGCTACAGCGTGTGTGGGACTCCATTTTGTCTTGAGGAGACCACCTAATACCCACTAAACCCTAACCTCCGCGTGGCCCGACTCATCAGCGTTTCGGTAAGGCCTTGTGTTGTGCGTGACCTGCGGTCTGCTACAACGTCTCCTCATGTGTTTCAACGCCGGGTTGGTTCCCTTTACCTCGCACAGTTCTATCGATGACGTTAAGCGAGCATCGATAGAGGGTTTGCAGCGTTCTCTTGAAACTCTTGTTTTCGAAAAATCAAGAGTTTCAAGTCCTCTACTACTTGTTTGTTACCTGGTCCTGATGGGTCCTGGTCCTGGTTGGTCCTGGTCCTGGTGGTTCCTGGTCCTGGTCCTGATGGATTCTGGTCCTGGTCATCCTCTGGTACTCGTCCTCTGCTTCCACGCCATGGGGGGCGGGGGGGGAGAGCAACCGCGAGTACTCCTAGTCAAGGTTCCAGTTAGCACCTGCCAACTGTGACTTGGGTCTAGGGTAGTTGGCTTTGCGGTTGCGAGGGAGGCCTCTCGTCCGGATTGTAGTCCATGAGGAGTCGTAGCTGCTCGTTCGGATGGTCCTGAGCTTTCTGGAAGGTCTTCTCTGCTTTTTTCCTCATGTACTCGTGAATGGTGTCCCAATGCAGGTCTCTACGCAAGGTTGAGTTTTTTACGTAGGATGGTGCACTGGTGGCGATCCGGAGTAGCTTCATCTCTAGAGCAGCAAGTCGCTTGCGGTAGCTGGGAGCAGCATACCCCCAAACCGCGGAGGCGTAAGCGAGCTGAGGTCTGGCGATGGCCTTGATCAGCGGTAGCTTGGTCGCTAGCGGCCACGTGAGGGATTTGTCAAATATGATTCCCAGATATTTGACTTTGTCGCTCCAGTGGATATCTTCGTCGAAGATGGATGCTTCGGGAGGTCTTGCAATACTTCTTCGTTGGATGAAGATTGCCTGTGTCTTCTGGACGTTGATACGGCTTTTCAATTTCACGCACCAGTTCTAGATGTGGTCCAGTTCATTCTGTAGTCTCCTACGGACGATCTCGGTTCGTCGATGCTTGGCGGCTATAGCAATGTCGCCTGCATATAGGGCCAACATTGTGTCAGCTGTCTTCGGTACGTCGTGTGTGTCGATGTTGTAGAGCAGGGAGGCTGATCCCTGGGGCACGCCTGTCGTCTTTTTGAGTGGCATGTGTCCATCGTGCCAAACTTGGTCGAAGGCTCGTTCCACATCCAGCAGAACGAGGCCGGTTGCCTCCTGGAGATTGAAGCCACTGGTGATGTTTTCTGTCAGTCGCAGCGCTTGTAATTCCGTATTGTGGGAGGATCTGAAGCCGAATTGCTCTGGGGGGAGAAGTTTCAGTTCTTCTGCCTGCTTCTCTAGTCGAACGGCGATAGCCTCTTCGACTACTTTGCCCATCGAGGAGACCAGGCTGATGGGCCGGTAGTTCTGAGGCAACTCCCGGTCCTTGCCTGGCTTGGTGAGCATTATAACCTGGGCTTCCCGCCACCGCCGCGGGAAGTGGTTAAGTCTCAGAGTGGCATTGGCGATGTTGGTGAGCGCAGGAATGCCTTTGGAGGGAAGGTTCTTCAGCATCCTGTTGTTGATGCCGTCCTTTCCCGGCGCCTTTCTGACCTTCAACCTGCGGATGATCAGGCGGATTTCCTCTGGACTGGAGGGGTGATCCGACTCCTGGCCAGGTGCTCGACTCCTCATAATTTCGGCTGCGACTTCCATGGCCTCCTCGTGGTTGTCGTCCTCGTCTTCATGGTAATTGAGTCTGTATTCGGATTATAGCGAATCCGCGAAAGTTTCGGCTTTTTCTTCACTGGAATAGGCCAAGCCGCGTTTTCCGTGAAGTGTGGGGATCGTGGTGCACTGACGACGAAATTTTCGTTGCATAGTCCAGGCTGTACCATCCCGGGTCTCTAGTTCTGCGCAGGCTGCATTCCATCTGTTGTTTCGGAGTTCCGCGAGTGCGTTCTTCAGAGCTAGCGATGCCCTGTTTCGCGTAATTCTCGAGTCCTCTGTCAACAGCTGGAGATGTTCTCGCTTGAGTCTTCTGTTCTCCCTGATCAGGTGCCTAATATGGTGCGGTGCTGGACCATTTAGGTGTCTTGGAACTGCCGTAGTCTCGGAGTGGGTGCTGTCCTCGTGCGCTCGCATGTGTTGAAATTGCTTTCTATTTATAAAGGGTCTTAAACCGCGACATGTGCCTTACCTCAAAAATGTCAAATACCCTGTATATTTCTCCTTAAACAGATTTTAATACAAGGTTTATACAACTTTTTACGGTTTTGAGCTATTATTATGGCAATTAATTTCAAGAAAAACCAAGTACATCTTGTATTTAAACATGAAATCAAAACTGCTATCAAAACAATAGCTTTTATTAACAACAAAAATATTCTCAGCCTAAGGCAATCAATCGTAAATAAATTGTTCGAATATATTACCTTGGACATGAAGGCCAGATGCCTGTTGAAATTATCTTGCATGTCTAAAAGAGTTTGTCCAGGTATAACATGTCTTCGGATGTTGTAGACTTCTCCTGGTAAACCTTTCATTTTACATGGCCTCAGAGATAGAAGTCGAGAGGCGTCAGATCGGGAGATCTCGCAGGTCAATTGATTGGACTGCCCCTCCTATAAAAATATTAGGGCGCCAGCAGTCTAGATACGATTCTGAGATTTTATTAAAAATCAGTGATCCAATATTAATAATATTAATATATGATGAAACATCCGTCCTTCGACCCAATAGAGAATCGGGTTACCCAAGTTACTGAAACAACTTGGTTGTGAAAAAATACTGGACTTGAGATGAAACACCTGGGAAGCAACGCAACTACTTGGAATGTATTAAAACCATTTCATAATGATTGACTGTATTGGGTTAAGATGAGTATTAAAAATAATTTCATTGTTTTAATGGAAGTCTAAATGTGGAATATATATTTTTTCTTGTAAATAATAGCAATAACTCGAAAACTGTACAAAAAAGTGGTATAAACCTTAACTCAAAAAATTTCCCAAGGAAAGCTATTTAATGATGTAGAATATACAGAGTGTTACATTTGAAATTCATGATAAATAGTACATTTTGCGTTTTGAGATAGCCTGTATAAATAGAAAGATATTGCAGCATTTCTTTCAGATCAGCTTAAAATCGAAGGTAATGAAATTTTTGTGATCTAAAATTTATGTAAATATTTTCAAAAATAGCGGAGCTGCGAGCTGTCAGATTTGAGAATCGGAACCATATTATATCAAACTTGTTTTCAGAAGCTCTATCTATAAAATATGCAATAAAATAAAAATATAGAGTATTCGAATAAAAAACACATGTTTGCTATGGCACGGATTTATGGAACACCCTGTATAAATTAAAATAATTTTAAAATATGATTGCCACGAAAACCGACTTCTATATCTGTTCCATTTTGCTCACAAATCTAGTTACCGGTTTCGTTAGGACACCGTGTATATGGCGCTCCTACCAATCTATAATTCATCCTAACCTCGTATGAGTAGTCGGGAGGTGTAAAACATGAACAATTGAAGGGTCCAATGCATGAACCAGTCAAGTCACACACGAAGAAAAATGTCGAGGAAACACAAAAAACATTCTTTCGTTACTCAACATTTTCGTATCTGTTGTCGATAGCAGATAATTCTGCCGCAATATTTTTTAAAATGTCAATCTTCAAAAAATAAATGAGGTGGAAGGGAATGATTAATGGACTTGACCGGTTTATGCAGTTTTCTGATCTTTTAAGGGATTAAATTAAAATAAAACAAACTATCACGTTAAACATATTATTTTTTGTTAAGTCACTGAATGAAATAAACTAATAGATGGTTTAATTCAACTTTTGATACAAACTTAAAATATTTTCATTTATTCATCTTCACTGAATTCTGATGCGGAAGTTTCTATCATCTAGCTATGACGGTATTTTGAAATTTAAATTTAAAAATATATAGGGTTTGTCCGGAAAGTAATAGGACTCATTTTCTTCCGCCATGACTGTAAATCTGCGACAGAGACGTTTGATATGATCAAGCAGGCTTACCCAGGTGTTGCTTTAGCAAGAAGTGGTGTGTTTCGGTGGCACCAGGCCTTTTTGGAGGGCCGGGAAGAGGTCGCAGATGAAGACCGTGCTGGAAGACCTTCGACTTCGACAAACACCGATAATGTGACTCGTGTGCGCAAAGTTTTGAATTCAGACCGTCGACTAGGTATTCGTTTAATTGCCCAGATGTTAACCCTCCATCACTCGCGCCTCATTTTATTACACCATCGCTCGCGTGCTAGATTTTATCTAACATTCAGATGTTCAATAAAAATGCTATTTTTACTTAAATTAAATGTTTATATTGTCAAGTATAGTATTACTTATACTGTTAAGCTATACATTAGTGAAAAATTATTGTTATAAACTATAACAAAAATACTAACGAAACACTGAAAATTCTTCATCTAAAATTTCTGAACTGAAGGTTTCTTCTTCTGATGTTTCATTCTGGAATCCTCTAGAGCTGAAGAAAACCCTAAAAAAATAAATGCAGGGTATACAGGGTTATCCAAATTAAGTGTCCACCATTGGTAACTTTGTTATTAGTAAAAATACAAAGTTGTTTAAATTAGCAAACTAGTAGCATTTTTAACGCTGGTAAAAATGAGAAATAAAAAAAAACAATTGAGAGTCGTTATTTTGATTTTTCAGTAAAATAACATTTTTTTAAATGGAAACCCCTGTATATTATATTTTTTTCTGTTAAAGCATCAAATTTTAAACAAAAAAGTTCATAATGACTTTTCCGCTAAAGTCAAAAATAAAGTCAAAATAACGATAAATATTTTTAATTATTTGCAGTATTATAATATTAAGACAGCTATGAAAACAACATGGCGTTCGCGATTTGACAGCATTAAGATAAGCGACAAATTGTTAAACTGGACATACTCGCAACTAGAAGGCTTTGGAAAACAATGATAAAATCAAATAATGTCAAACATTAGTGTAAATACTTGTTTATAAGCTTTATTGTGTCATTAATTTAAAGAAAAATGTTCTCCCATGAAGAAAAGTGTGATATGTTAGAATGCTATTTAGTGTGCAGAAAATCCTCCTTGAGAGCAAGCACAGTGAATTATATCCCGCTCGCATTCAACCGTATGAACGATATTTTCTGAGACTTTATCGAAAATTTAGGGGCAACGAAAATGTTTTTGCTAAAACAAGGGCAAAAAAAGAATTCATAATAAGCGAGGCCACGGAAATTGCAGTTATTGGATATTTTGAAGCTTATCGTGAGAATTCAATAGCAGATATTCTCAAGGACTCTAATTTCAGTTATGGTACTGTTCAAAGGATTTTAAAAAAATACAAATTTATTCCGTATAAGTACCGACCAGTTCAAACGCTTTTGGCAGGGGATCCAGAGAGAAGACTTGTTTTTGCCATTGGTATCTTAGCTTCTGTCGCCAAAATGTAAATAACTTTCGTTACCTTTTATGGACAGATGAATCAAATTTTTCAAATTCTGGAATGTTTAATAGAAAAAACCACCATTATTGGTCAAGAGAAAATCTTTTGTTAGTACATCCAAGAGGCCCACAAGTCCGTTTCAGTTTCAACGTTTGGTGCGGTATAATTGGTTCAAAAATTGTTGGCCCGTTCTTTTATGAGGGAACCCTAACTGGTGAAAGATATGTGGAATTTATGTCAGAAATTCTGACTAATTTCTTAGACGAATTGGATCTTATAAGTAGACATCATCTGCATTTTCAGCAAGATGGCGCACCTGCCCACAACTCCAGAGGTACTTATCATTTTCTAAGTATTACTTTTAATGATCAGTGGGTAGAAACAAATGGCCCAATACAGTGGCCTCCCAGATCACCAGATTTAAACCCACTTGATTACTTCTTGTGGGGTTACTTAAAGAACCAAATTTACAAGCGAAGGTACGATAACCTTGACGCGTTAAAGACTGCAGTTAGGGAAAAGATAACCCAGATAGATGGTAGGACCATACTTAAGACAGTTCGAGCAGTTGAAAAACGTGCCCAAAAATGTATTGAAGAACAAGGTGGTGTTTTCGAGCATCTTCTTTAAAAAAAATTGTTATTGTATTTTGTAAGATTATAAGTTGATGTTGAAAATAAAGTTTGTCGATACAATTTAATTGTTTCAGGTTGGAGGCCATAACTTCAACAATTTGTAACCTAGGAGAAAAGTTATTGTAAGCTTTTTTGTTTAAAATTTGATGCTTTAACAGAAAAAAATATAATATACAGGGGTTTCCATTTAAAAAAATGTTATTTTACTGAAAAAAATCAAAATAACGACTCTCAATTGTTTTTTTTTATTTCTCATTTTTACCAGCGTTAAAAATGCTACTAGTTTGCTAATTGTTTTCCAAAGCCTTCTAGTTGCGAGTATGTCCAGTTTAACAATTTGTCGCTTATCTTAATGCTGTCAAATCGCGAACGCCATGTTGTTTTCATAGCCGTCTTAATATTATAATACTGCAAATAATTAAAAATATTTATCGTTATTTTGACTTTATTTTTGACTTTAGCGGAAAAGTCATTATGAACTTTTTTGTTTAAAATTTGATGCTTTAACAAAAAAAAATATAATATACAGGGGTTTCCATTTAAAAAAATGTTATTTTACTGAAAAAAATCAAAATAACGACTCTCAATTGTTTTTTTTTTATTTCTCATTTTTACCAGCGTTAAAAATGCTACTAGTTTGCTAATTCAAACAACTTTGTATTTTCACTAATAACAAAGTTACTAATGGTGGACACTTAATTATATTGAAAGCGTTTACATGAATGATTTACAAAACACTTACGCACATTAAACATTCTCGTTACGTCCATAGCATTCACGACAGGTCAATGAAGTTATTGCTGTATGTTCCTTGCATATCGGTGATCTACAGGTTGAAAAATTTCTCTGAGTGAACCTGTTTTTTCTCAATGGACAGAATTCACATCTCACTTTGGCTTGAGTGGCTTGGTCTCTATTTGAGGTTGGTCTTTCTCCAGTTATGTTTCTAATCTTTTGGCTAAGTAGATAAGGCAGACCTGGAATCTGAGAACGTCTATACAGGTGAGGCATGACAAGCAATTTACTAAGTTCCGATATAAATTGTCTTCTGGTAATAATATTGTTTGTATTCTCTCGATAGATTATTTGGCTGTTGATGGTTGATATATTCAGAAGCCCACAGAATACGGTATATGGCCATCTATTGCTGAATCGTGCTGTTGAATATTCAGATTTCATTTTGTCGACCACATCTACGCCTCCTTTCGTAAGATTACAGTCTGTAATAACTTCGGGCTTGAAAGCATCTCCAGTGTTATCGTTGATCTTACTATCATCATGCAGGGTTGATAATAACAGCACGTCTTTGTTTCGCTTTGGTACATATGAAACAAGAAGGCACTTACTGGGGTTTTCATCAGAGTCTTCACTATATGCAAACATGCTGCTTTTTACTGGTCTATTTTTCACATCTAGAAGTTCTCGAGGAATTTGAGGCTTATTTTTGCGAATTGTTCCTATTGTAGTTAGTCGATGGTTTACTAATAAGCTATTAGCCAATGCCACTGAGGTGAAATAATTGTCAGTGGTTACATTTCTTCCTGTACCACTAATTGGCTCTATAAGTCTCAATACAACGCTCGCTACGTAATTTTTTAGGTCCCTCTGGTTGTTTACCCGCCTAGATTTCAAGATTTGATGTAAAAAATGTTCTGGCGTCTACTAACCCATAGATGCCGTATTTGGCGGGCTTGTTGGCTATGTATTGTCAAAATCGGCATCTCCCCCGAAATGCCTCTAACATTTCGTCAATTGTTACGTAAAATCCCGGAGAATAAGCTTGTTTACAATTTGTTTATCTAACCCGCGGCCGAACGTCATCACTCGCGTGCTAGACTGGAACTAACATTATGCGATTGCGGCACTAGAACAAAATAGCTCCTCCCCACGACCACAGATTCACATAGTAGATTAGTTTGAAGCAGTATTCCTAGATGGTGGGCCTGCTAAGCCGCAAAATTTCAAATTTATGAGAAAAATTAAAAAAATGTTAGATTTTTTCTAACGGTGCGAGCGATGGAGGGTTAAATTTACCAAAATCTGTGGTTCATGACATTGTGACACAGCATTTGAATATGCGCAAGGTGTGCGCGAAGATGGTCCCAAAAGTGCTCACTGACGACCAGAAATTGCGGCGAGTGGAAGTGTACCAAGAAAATTTGAACATGTGTGAAAGTGACCCCCAATTTTTGAATAACGTAATCACAGGTGACGAGTCGTGGATCTTTGAGTATGATCCCGAGACAAAGAGGCAATCTTCCGAGTGGCACACGACGGAGTCTCCTAGCCCAAAAAAGGGAAGAATGAGCAAATCCAAAGTGAAAACGATGCTCATTTTTTTTGACATCAAATGCATCGTCCACCATGAATTTGTTCCTCCTGGACAAACCGTCAACGCCAAGTTTTAGTGGAAGTGCTCAGGAGACTCAAACGAAGGGTCAGTCGGGTCCGACAAGACATCGCAGCCGACTGGAAGTTGCACCACGACAACGCCCCGGCTCACACCGCCTTTCGTGTGAACAGCTACCTGACCAAGGCCGGCATCCCAACGCTTCCGCAGCCGCCCTACAGCCCAGATGTGGCCCCCCCCCGGACTTTTTTTGTTTCCTCACCTGAAAAGGCCGATGAAAGGCAAGCATTTTGAGACGACAGAGGGGATCCAAGGAGCACGCACCGCGGCTCTCAAGGCTATTCCGGAGAATGCCTTCCGTGACGCCTTCAATGCTTGGAAATCGCGCTGGTAGCGCTGAATCGACGCAGAAGGAGCCTATTTTGAAAGTTTTTAAAGAATTGTAACGATTGGCTCAATACATTTTTTAAATCGACTCAGTCCTATTACTTTCCGGACAAACCCTGTATACTGCTCTACATGGATGCCTTTAAAGTTTTTGTTTGTATTTTTAATTATCTTGCGACAAATATATGTTGTCGTGCTTTCGTTTTAGTATTTCTATGGCTCTAAAGCTCCCTTCGGATGGACTGACAGTAGTTTATGTAAAGTTAAAAGCGTAGGCAACCAACTATACACTTCAGTTTCCACAATATGAATGTTGCAGACCTGATTTATGCACAGGAAGGTTTAGAATTGCATTGGACCCCTCATTTGTTCATTTCATCTCTGAAACGGATCCTTGCTGACGCATCCTTTCTTTTTCAGGTTATACTATTTGGACATGTTGAAGAACATCCTACTCTTTGCATTAGTTCTATGGATCGCACACGTCCTAGCAACTACGTTTCTAGTGAAATCAAACTTTACCTCATAGATTTATAATTATCAATGTACACATCTAGACTAAACAAGCCTTTATTTATACAGAACATTACCTTATTTACCCTTACCAGCAACCTACGACATGATACTCATTAGTAAACTGGTATAGTCGTAACAAAAAGAATGTCCGGCAAATGTTTCATATGTTTTTTGAAACCAACTTTATATTTCACAGCGCTTTGCAACATTTTTGTGAATTGTGGCTGTAGTCACTCAGATAAAAACGTTACAAATCCATTTTTGAAACCTTCACGAACCAAAAGATCTATTGCACTTGCTCTTCAGATATTTACGTTAATATCATCAAGTGTTCAGTATTACGTGAGAGCCGAGTATAAATTGTCGATTTATGAGTTGCACAAGACTTTTCCGTCTCTTGTGTTTTGTTTTGATATTATGGTATTGGTGAATATGATTTTCTTCAGTATTTCTTGGATGGAAGATGTAAAGGAATTGAGGTACTTATATAGCGTGTGACTTCTTGCAAAACAAATTCTATACAGGGTGTCCCAATATATCGCGGACATATAAGTACCACGTATTTTTAGACACAAAGTCGATTGGACATAATGTACCTATATGCAAACATTCTTCGTTTGTCCGTTAAAGGGCGTCAAAGTTTTATTTTTAAACACATCTTTTAGGATATTTTAAGAACCGATAATCCGATTTAATTTGTAACACACGTTTTGCTAGATATTCTAGTATTTTACTGTTACGAAAAACTTTAAAGGGTTGACGAAAGGTGAAAACTACTCCCACCCCTAAATTAATTATAGCAGAATATTTTGGCAACTTTCCAGACGACTCAGAATTTATTTTTGTTTAGCAGATCCTTCTATTTACCTCATTTCTTCTCTCATAAAAACAGGCCAACTCGAATAGTTTTCGAAAAAAAGAAATGACTTGCATCAAGAAGTCCCAAACGTCTTTAAGTGTACTTAGCGAAAATAATTACTTATTACAATTTTATTTAATACAGGCAATTGTGCGAATCTTTCAATAAGGTTGTTCAATATGACCACCATTTTTGTTCCTACACATAATAATATGGTGCAGAGAATGTTGATATTGAATTTTTTTAGATACCAGCTCCGATAAACATTTTTTCCCGCAAGATGGTCTGTTTTTATAAGAGACAAAGAATAAAGTAAATGGAGGGATCTTTTAAAAGAAAAAAACTGGTCTATGGGAGAGTTGAGAAACAATTTATATAGAGGTGGAGGTGATTTTCACCCTCTCGAACCGTTTAGAGTCTTTTGTAAGAGTCAAAAGTCTAGCAAAACCCGTGTTCAAAATTTCATTCAAATCAAACTATCTGTTCCAGAAATATCTGAAAAAATGTATCTCACATAGCAAACTCGAAGCAGCCTAGAGGTAATTCATGTCTAATCGACTTACTTTGAGTCTAAAAATACGCGGTCCTTCTATGTTCACAAAATATTGGGACACCCTGTAGAGGCAATGCTCTGCATTTTCTGAAATTCCATTATTGCCAAGTGTAAATAGTACCTTCCCAGACAGTACAAGTACGTGAAAATGTCGTTACGAACTGACCATGAAATTACGAGAATCACGAGTTAAGTGACGTAAAGGTAACCTCCTAATGTCACATACCGGTAATATCATATGGCGTAAGTAATACGTCACCTTTGGAATAGAAAATTATTCTTCTGACATTATTTTATATGAAATTCCTTGTAATTAAGTTGCCGAAGTGTCGGAAAAATATATTACCTTCTCCAGGGCTGTACAAATTTTGTTTTTAAAACACTAACTTTAAATAAACATTAATTAACAATTCAAATAATAAAATCGAAATGAAGGTACTTATTTTGGTCAAGACATTTTATAAAATGAGCCATTTAAATTCTCTGCCGAACTTCGTTAACAAGATTGCAATTCCCAGTTCTATCCGTATTCGATTATATTATCAGAAAAAAATCATAATTTTTTTTATACACTTATCCAATTATTTTATCTTTGTTTCTATTTTTTATGTGTATACGTTTGGAATTGTTTTCTTATTAATGAAATTTGTTCATTAATGCATATGTATAGTATTTTTAGCATTCTTTGTGGAGCCCTGAAGAAGGTAATAAATGTTTCCGAAACGTCGGTAACTTTATAACAGGAAACTGTGTTTTTAATGCCCCAAATCCAATTGGTTGCAAGGAATGATTAAGAAGGTGTTTATACCTTTTAAAACCTAGATGATATCAACAATATTCTGCAACTATTTGTGGGCATTTTTAATCACATTTCCATCATTTACAACCCAAACCTGCTGGATGTAAAGACAAAGTCTATTATTTATAATGATTAACCACTTTTAGATTCTCCACAAAATCACGTACTGTGTTATCAGTAGACAGACGTGTTTGCATGCCCAGAACTTGACCTTAAAAACTGGTGAATGTACTATGTACTTTCTAATCTAAGATGATTCTTAACTTCAAATATTATTATCTCACAACCCTCACGGCTTAGGAGATTGTGCCAATTGAGACAGTTGTTCACGATGGAGAGATATGCATCAAATAAGAAATTCAACAAATTTAACTGAAGTCCGATTTTCATAAGGAAATTGCGTAGCTCTTTAAATTTTTGCGGGAGTAACTTACCCTTTTTTTCGAAGGAATCTTCTGAAAATATCATTGTACGTACGTCAATTTGGAAGAAAGGAAATGTACTTGAAACGCAACAAAAATCCGATTGCTAGACCTCTTTTTTGGGTTTTACTACCATTGCTCTTAGGAATAGGATATGAGTTACTATTCCAGGATTTAAATTGGTTGAGCTATTTCGCAATCATTAATAAAGTATTGATTGGTAAGTGTCTCATATCTTCATATTTCAGTCATAGCAGACCAAACATGAATAAAAAACATTTTTAAAAACAAGCTTCTATTAAGCTGTTCAGGTAATTAATAAAAAATTTCAAAATATTTTTTTCCGATTCGAGATATGTAAACGATAATGAACCTCCTTCATGTTAAGTTTTCAAGTAACCTACCTGTATTTTGAAATTGTTTTAGGTATGATAGGATATCCTTATTACGAATGCGAAGTGGTGCTGCAAATTTGCCATGTAACCTTCAGTAGACTCATATTGGAACAAGTAGCAAATGAAATAAACTCAAAAATAAACATGCCATGTCTAACAATTCATCAAAAAGAAGAAACTGATTTTCTGATAAAGTTGCGAAAACTAAGGATGCTCTACATGAGCGCCATGGACAACATGGTTACAAAAGGCAACAGGATAAGCCTCTTGATAATCTCCTTAGCAATCGGGACGTATCTGTGTCAAATATACTTGACATTTCTGTTGATATTGACAGCGTCTGGAGAATTAGATTGGAACAAATGGCATGTGCCTACCGTGATAGTTATGCTCACTGGCTTCGTATGTTTCATATATTTTCTATGGCTATCAAGTCTTAGTGATACTTCGGTATGAATAATCAGATAGTTTTCATATGAATATAGTATTATGCGAGCCCCTTCCCACTTCAGTTGGCCCAACTATTAAAATCTTAGTTTTTTCTTATCAAACACAAATAATAAAAATGTATCAGGGTGTTATAGGTTTAAAATATTAACAATGAATATTTTGATAATATATAGTAGAAAACACCAACTTTATCACTCCCTAATCAAATTTGCAGCATAAAAATAACACATGTTGCAATTACAGCATATCAACCTATTTTCATTTTAATGCAAAATAAGTCTATAACGAATAGGTGGCTGTGAAAAATAAAAGCCATGACAATTGTTTTTATCAATCACAGCTGTCAGAATACGTTTAAAATAGTTTTGGGTAGTTAAGGTTTTCAAAATGGGTAGACGAAAGATTATTAGTGAGAAAATTCGGTTACTGATAATTAATTTTTTTAATTCTGGGAAATTAAACTCTCAGAAATTGCAACTTTGTTAGACTTATCGCGGTACAGTGTGAGAAATATTGTTAGAAGATATAACGTAACTGGTTCAGTTAATATTAAGCCACGATATGTGAAAAAAAGTAATATCACAAATGCCGACCGAAGAGCATTAAGAAGAATAATCGTGAAAAACAGGCGTGCCAATTATTTACAATTAAGTCCTCTGTGGAGTGACGCTGTTGGAAGGAGAATTTCGAGGTCTACAACTCATAGAGAGGCCCACAAATTGGGATTTAGCACTTGCAAGGTAAGTTTTATTATAAAAAAAAAATGAAGTAATAACCCTAAAGTCTCACAACTTGTTCATAGGCCAATGAAAAGCCACTATTAACTCCACTGAAAAAGATAAATCGGCTTAGATGGGCTAAAGAGCATAGACAATGGACACCTTAACAATGGTGTGCAATACAATGGAGTGATGAGGCCCCATTCGTAATAAAAAATAAATTGATATTACCCAATGGTAATCTTACAATTGTTGCTTTGTTAACTTCGCGCATTTATTCGCACATTGTTTATTTGTTCAGATGTTCTATTAGTTATAGGTCTAAGTGATTTCAAATATGTATTTTTTACGACTAGAGTGTATCTAAAATGTTTTTTAGAAAATAAATTGTTTTAGAAGTAAATAGTTTCGTCATGTTTAGTTTATAAAGGCATATTTTGGTACAAATCTTGAAGTGGTCTAACTGAAGTGGGAAGGAGCTCGTATATTTAGCCAACGACTGGAGACACACACTTAAGGACTTTTAAAATAAAGGTTGATTTATAAACTCATCAATCATGTGTTTGACGTTAAACTATTTAAAAACAGGAATTCCGCAACGTCCCTCCGCAAAGCTGTACCTGACGAAGTTTTAACTTTCTGCCGTTGCCATTGCATTCAACCAATGAAAGGGAGCTTGCAAATCACATGTTTGTTGCCACAGATCAGCTGGTTTACCCGCGTGCTTTCCGCTCTGTTTGACATTAGTATGTTTTTCTTGCTTTTGTAATCGGCGTGGCTTAATTTGAGATTATTGTCCATATTCAGTTTATTTAAATAATAATAATATGAATTATCAACAGATGTATGTTACAAGTGTTGAAGGTCTAATTTTAAACCGACTTCTTTGTCGCTTTTGCAGTACTTCCGTTTTCAAAATGCCAATTATGCAACATAGTAATGCAAAGATTTTGTAACGTAAAAGTAAGGCTAGCTAGCACCTCTTGTCTTATGACAACTAGATTGATCTGCAGACAAATCTGATCTTGAAATATGTAAAAAATGCAATCTGGGGTTAGTTTATGCGTCATGCAATATAACGTTAGAAAGTTTTTAAATTGAATTTAACTATGGTTGCACTCACAGTTCTTGGCGGGTCAAAGTAGGACTACCAGTACTTCTTTATATATATATATATATATATATATCCATCTCACTCATACATACACATGCAACCTACCCCTGTGTGTGAACATTTGTTCGGTAAGATCAAAGACATACGTTTTTTAGTTGTGTTTCTCTGTTTTGAAAACTTTGTCGTTACGTATGAGTGCCCTTCAGCCATTTTTCTCAGAGTGACAACTTACTTGACATCGGCGTGCAATTCGAGTTGTCCTGTTATCAATCTTCAATATAAAATTGTACAATGCCCGGAAATACAATCAATGGAGAAGGCCGACAGCTCGTGCTAAATTTATTAAAGTATTTTGTGGAAGAGAAATGAAGACAGCGGTTCCCTGTTATCCACTTCATGCGTACTGGAGAGAGTAGCAGATGCGCTGCACAATTAGTCTGCGCCCATGGTACGGAGACTCGATCTGCTTACTTATTTCATATGGCGTTGACGACGTAACCTCCAAGAACGGTGACTACAACTGTACCAGCGGCAGCATTACGGTAACGGTACGCCGGCGGTATAGCAACGTGAGTATTTATAAATCGACCTTAAGTCAGGCCGACATCGGGGTATTACAAGACTGACTAGACATTAACGTACCTAATGACAAGAGGCAAGTAGCAGGTTTGGCAACGAAAGTATTACCTACTGTAACTTGAAACTATACTTAAAACACCACTATGGTATTCTTGTCTTGTCAAATTTCTAGTAAGGAGTTTACCTGGGTTTTTCTGCTGTTGCATACTATACTTGTGTTGCTTTTATTTACAGATCAGGAATGCATTGGCATGGATGTATAAATTAAGAATGTGTTCAAAGTTCAATGCTTCAGAGCTCCGGGAGGTAATATTTTCCAACTTTTGTAACGAAAACACCGTTTTTAGATCGATGTAGATCGATGCTGCTCAATGTGTGTCGAACGTTCTTGATGTCGTCGCGAAACCTCTTGAAGCGTAGTCGCGTAGATGATGTACAAGGGCACCTCACAAAGTTCAAGCTTACGAGGGCTCTACAATAGAATACATACCAACTATACTTGAAGGGACTTCGGCAGCTTTATTACGCCAACATACATAATCTTGAAAAAAAAAACAAAAAAATATCAAATTGCTGACTGGATAGCTTGCTACATTGCCTTCTTGCTGGCTATGAACACTGTGAGCTTCACCCATAGCGCCATCTACGGAGAAATGATTCAACGACATCCTGAATGACCAAGCTGCAAGTCAGTTCGCCAGCGTGCTTTGTTGGTTGTAGAATGCCGAGATAGTCTGTAGAGTATACCTCTGAGGTGTGACAGAAGGAACATTGGTTGAATAGCAGAGTAGCAAGATCGCATCTAGATGATTATGTGGCGATTGTGTGTATTGGTCTACATGTGTATAAAAATTATTGCTGGGCATATTCAGCTCTCGTAGTGTATCTATTGACTGTACCCGACGGGTTATTTGTGTCATCCTTTCTGAAGAGAGATCATGTTCAAACTCATTAATTACAATTTTCTCAGTTTTTTTTGCGTTTTCAATAACTTTGAGAAGCATTACATGAAAACACCACCGCACCCGCGTTGTGTGTAATTAAGCCACATCTCATAAGAATTGGGAATGACGCATCACGCACAAACATTTTCGTAGCGCCTGACGTATAGGGCTGATTTGTATTTTTATTTTGTATATATTTTCAACTAAATAAAATTCTACAAAATTTAAATGACTGAACGTAAAAATTAATGTAAAATGTAACAACCTATTTTTTCACCTGTTAGCTGTAATATACTTCACCACGTAGGGATTTTCTTTTTTCTCTCTCTTTTTTGAAATTCAGCAAATTTGCATATGCTAGCTATAGAATACAACTTACAACAATAGTGCTATCTCTAGATCAGATGTTACATCTCATCAGACCCAAACCATGGTAGCTCATGCATCAGGTCGTTTAGGCAACACGTACAGTTACACTATGAGCGCACATCAAGTAAACAGCAGCTAGTTCTAAGTTGACATTTTATAGGAGAACTTACAAAAATCACAAAAAACTATATGTCTAAAAATCGACATAATGTCCCTTTTCGAGATACGTTATACCCCTGCAGTTCCAGTTTCAGCTAAGGTCGAATCCTAGGACAATGTTTAGTTTTCGAGATATTGACAAGATTTCCACTTGTAATAAAACCTATCACAAAACATACTTAAAAATTCCGGTAATCTAGATAAAAACTAAATTTTTGGATAAAAATATATACTATAAGCTTAACATGTAAGCTAGATCATACATATTATATTTTTTTTTCGCTTATTAACAATCATAAAATCAAGTTTTGGCAGATACGCAAAAGAATTTTTCCAGTTTTGGTCTGAGACTATTTTTTTCAGATGGAGATTTTCATAACTCTACTAGGTGGTCAAACTGGATCTTCGGAATATGTTAATGTTGATCTGCCATTTCTAGCTAGGGTATGTAAAAAACAGAGAATCAATATTCTCATTACAAATTTGAAATGTGGAAATTATTACTATTTTTTTTTTAGCTTGGATCTGACGCAATTGTCAACGCCATGGTAGTCACTCAACTGTACCATCTATTTAAGAAGACAGAACGAGGTTAAGAAGGAATATTTATTAAAAAAATATAATCTTCACTTATACAGGTACAAGGCTATATAATAGTCTGTACATAATTACATACATACACCTACAAATAAAAAATATTCTGTATTAGTTTTTAACAATACATTGTTACATTAACAACAAGCCATAGAAATTGCTATAGGAAAATAAATTATGCATCGATTATTCCTATATAGTTAAAAAGATTTTGCCACAAAAACAACGGCAAATATTGACATTAAAGGCAAGCATTGAATTACACCTAAGTCGTTACATATAGTTTTTTTATTAGAATATTTTTGGTTGATTTTATGGCTAGTTTTGCCTGATTATCAATTTACTATAGGTACTTTTCGTTCTCGAAAGCAACATTTTGTGAAATATCATGTGTTCTATGACTCCATCGTGATGAAATGGAACTTTGCACTGTAGCCTCAACTAAACATATAGAATAAGCTCTTATATAAGAAGTAGGCTAGTAAAACAAAAAATGTTATTTTTACTGTCCTGTCAAGCACGAACATTCTGGAAGAAATAAAAACTTGTCAGTTATAGAAGAAATGCGGCATTGTTAGTACAAAATGAAACTTCAGTCTACAAAAAAACAAAACAAAATACTGCTTGGTGTTGTCGGATCTGTCAGAATTATGTGTAATTTGTCGATGTGAGGAATTTTGAAATATTACTAGATAATCAGCTATTATTCTGCCGTAATGAGTACCCGTTAAAATGACAATAAAATACCAAAGCCAAAATTATAGGTTAGAAATCTGACAGGGAATATTTTATTCGTTTATGCTGGCTAACCTCGTTTGAATCGAGGAAACAGAGGCATCTTGCAACTACAAGTGATTGGATGCAACTGGCTTGCAGACAAAATAATGTATTGCAAATTCATGAGTTTTCTTGCAATGGCGTTGAATACACGATTACGCGGTTGGTTGGCGGAAAATTCGTTTTCCAAGATCTGGTTAACCTACACGTGACTTGATCTGGCATACTCGTAGTTGCTTCTCCGTTCGAATGATCGTGTATTGTGCGTTTGGTCGCGCTCGACGTTTGTGTCTCGTATCATTTGTAACACCTCATATCATAAAGCTAAATTTACGATAACTTTGCAAATGAACTTTCTTTACCTCCTAGATGTTGAATAATGTAGAGCGAACTAGTATCCTGGGCCCTTCGGCAATGTGTACGATAATTTCGATGTGCTTTCTATTTTATTCGTCATTGTCTGTCAGAGCGGTCCGTAGGACCTTTGCTTTTGGTTGAAGTCTAGTAAGTCAGTTGGTCTGTCAGGTCTGGTTGCCCAGATACCAAACAAAGTTAGGGAGAAAGAAGGGAAGAAGCAAGAAAGGAAGGAAGGAGGTAGAGCAAAGAAAAAAGAAGTGCATCAATTTGAGGGGTGCCTTGGCATTGCTAGTTAGTATTCGGCAATTTTAAATTGATCCTAAAATTAATTTTGGGATTGACATAAACCGATGTGATTTTCAACGAGATATCTTCCGTCATATTCACTACCACGGAAGCTGCCTCGATGCTCTGCATCTCAGCATTTGTGCTTCTGTAATAGTCAATACCACGTTTTACTAGCACCGCCAAACCCCAACCCGCCGGTTAATCTATCAGCACGGATAAAATCATAATTCGGGAAAGCTAGACGATCTCCTGGATTAAACAATATTTCCTGCAGCAGAGCCACATCTACGCTTTCATCCAAAAGAGCTTGATGAAGTTCCCGTTTTTTGGGGACATCCCTAAGACCTAAACAATTCCAGAAAAGAATGTTAATGAACGCAGGCTGTCTGCTATTGTATCTAGCCATTTAGCGGAAAGATCGCCTGCAATGCCTTAGTGGCGCTTATCAGGGGACCTGAGCGCTGTTGCTAGGTCCACATTTTGAGTAGTTGTAGATGAGCTCGAAACAGTAGGGGCAGTTGAGGTGTCTTCTCTTGCTGCGCCTGCGTATGACTTTGCTCGCCTTTGTGCGATGACTTGTAGATTTCTCCTAGGAGTAAATCTACAAGTAGGACTATTTTTTGGATGGTTCCCCCCACAGTTCGCACATCAGCGTACCTCTTGTCCTGTTTTTTGAGGGCACATATGTGTCATGTGGTCTTGGGCACATTTTAGACACTTTGGCGGTGCAGTGCAATACGACTGTGCGTGTCCATACAGCGGTGACACTGCCCAATGAGTCGAGAGTTCTTCTGAACTTCGACTCTGATAGAGAACCCCAGCAATTCGTGCTCGTTGAACACTTGTTGTGGCTTCTCCGTCTTAGGCAGGATCACCACCACCAAGGGTATGGGCACGCCGCCGTTGCGCTTTAGGCGAATGATGTGAAAGGGAGCGTAATCCTTCTCTTCTAGCTCATCTTTGACCTCCTGTTCGGTGGTTGACGCTGGGATCCCTCTGATAACCGCATGGCTGTTGCGTTCAGTGAGCAAAGGGAAAGTGTGATGAGGAATGTATTCCTCTTTGAAAAGACGGATTATCCTGCGATAATCGCCTTCGGTTTTGGGGATGATACGTATCCCAGCGTCAACGGCAACTGCTCGTTCAATACGAATACCAAGACTTACTTAAGGTGCGCCATTTTGTCGCATCTCTCAACATGATTGGAGTAATACGCTCCTGGCGAGGCGATTGGGCCTGTGTATTTAGAGATTCGCTGGATGGCAAGGAAGATGAGTTGCAGCCAGCCACTTCGGGTATAACAGGAGGAGCACTCTGCTAGTAGAAACGGTAGAAGGTACAGACACAGAGGGTTTTAGGTTGCCTGAATGTTTGTTATTTGGGGCTTTCGTCGGTAGCGGAGGAAATTCTGTTTTGCGCAGTCTCACTTTGCGACGTCGCACATGTGTGAAAAGATCATCCTGTGTGTTCTCATCGGTCTCAGTATGTAGGTCACTCGAATGACTGTCTACGTTTTGCTGTTTTGGAAGAATCAACATTGGGAACTGATTTTTCAATGATACTTGTAACCTTAAAAACCTGGGCATTAAGTGACTCCACACAGTCAGTTAGTCTCTGAATCTGGGATGCTTGGTCTGCAATTATCTTCAAAAGTCTCTGGTTCTCGTTTTGGTTTTCTGGAATATGTTCCAAAGTAGCGCTGCACTCCGCGCCAACTCCACTCAAAGCAGTAGGGTTCAGCTTCCATAATATTATTGACTTATTTCTTGCCAAAATATAAAAATTTCTCAGGATGCAAAAAATTTGGCAATTAAAGGCAGATGATGCACATCATTTAGGCAGCAGCGGTGGCCGCAGTAGTAGACTTTTCGGTCTCCTGATCAGTTGCCATGCGCTGTGCGGGTTCGAGTCCCGTCCCAGGAGAATTTTTTTCTCTTGGCTATGGATTTTGTGATTGTCCGTAGGTGGTAGACGGTCTCTGACTGTCGACCGTGGAGGTACCACCCGGCGGATCTCGTAGGCGGAGCCAGAATGTGTGCATGTGGCACGCACACGTGTCCCCTCGGCAGAATCCGTGTGGCGTTTCCCCTTTCCTCTGTATCCCCCATAGCCCCACGGTACCCAATGGGTGTTTAGGCCTTAGGCCTTCGTGGTAGTTGGAGTATAAAAAAAAATCTGTCACTGTTCGATGTGCTTGTACGATTATTTTTTGCGACGAATCTGGCAACGCTGATAGTAAGCAAAAAACATTAGGCGTTGCGGTTTAACCACACCTTTCGAGGCAATCTTTTAAAGGCAACTCGCGTTTTAGGACAAGCCTGCTATTGAAAAACGCGTTTTGAGAATTAACTTCTGGTTAGCAGTCTTGTTCGCTCAGAAAAACGTCTGGGCATACTCCTAATAAGATGATAGATTTCCTCTTGGGGTCAGTCATATCTTTCGGACAGAACAATATTTGTGGAATGAGGTGGTTTCAAGTCTAATGCTACACAGGCTACTTCAGGAGCTCCCCAGAGGTCTTACTTGGGACCTTTGTCGTTTCTAATCTTTATTAATGATTTGACGCTTGAGATTAAATGTCATCATGTATTTTTCACTGATGATTTTCAAATTCATAATAGTATCGTAACTTCAGAAGACTGCCATCTTCTTCAAAATAATTGTGTCAAAAGGTAAAGTAGTAACAACATTTTATGCTTCGTAACGACTACAGTATTAATCAGCTAGGGCTAGAAAGGAGTAACAGTTATAAATACCTACGTGTTAGGTACATTTGATACCAAGTTCAAATTTTAATGGTCATATAAATAACATTACATCGTTCGCTCCCCGAATTCTAGGGTACTGTGATAGAAACCGATTGGAATCTATTCAACAAAGCAGTAAAATATATTTTTAATATACTAAGTGACATATAAATCCGAACACCCAGTTAAAATGGTTTTATTTTAATAAAAGTTGGTGAATGTATTTATCTTACTGTAAATAACAAGTGAAAAAATTTTAAGCCTTATCAGTTGGACATTCCGGTTTTTATACTGCTTTTTTTAATTCACTAACGCTCTAAAAATGAATATTTCAGCCGCAGTAACGAATCAACGTTGGCGGATTTTGGTTCTTGACATCCTTTACGATCGGTTACCATGCCTAGAGTATGGAGACCTGTACGATTTCGTCAACTTAATGAGTTTGATAGGGGCCGTATAGTGGGACTTCGGGAAGCTGGACTTTCTTTTCGGGCAATTGCAATTAGAGTGCAAAAAAGGGTAGACACTGTGGTTAGGTGTTGTCAGGCATGGCTTCGAGAAGGCCGTACGCAAAGAGCAAGGGGACCGTGAAGATCGCCGCCTAAGATTATTGGCCTTACTGGACCGTTTCTCCACTACCAGGTCCATTGCAAATGAATGGTTTGCAGAACACGGAAGACCTATTGGCATGCGAAGTGTTTACCGACGAATGAGAAGTTTTGGCTTGTTTTCATACCGGCTACACTGGGTCCTCCCTTTAACTCGAGAACACCGACGTAATCGCCTTGAGTGGTGCAGACAACGGTCACTCTGGGATCAGGAATGGAACAGTATTGTCTTTAGTGACAAGTCTCGATTTTGTTTAGGCATGCACGATGGTCGTGCCAGGGTTAGAAGGCGACGTGGTGAAAGGAGGAATCCACAGTTTTTTGTTGAAAGACATGTTCATCACACTGTTGGAGTTATGGTTTGGGGTGCTATAGCTTATGGTTCCAGGTCACCTTTAATCTTCATCAGAGGTAACATGAACGCGCAGCCTTATATCCACGAAGTTCTAGAACCCCATCTTTTACCATGTCCTGACACCCTGGCAGATCCAACTTTCCAACAAGATGATGCCCGACCACATGTTGCAAGAGTCACAATAGACTTCTTTCAACATAATGATGTCACATTGTTACCATGGCCACCAAGATCTCCCGACTTATCCCCAATTGAGCACGTGTGGGATATGATGGGTAGGAGATTGCTCAATTTGCAATGTCCTCCTCAGACTCTAGAAGCACTTCGAGAGGAGTTGGTGGTTGCCTGGAATGAGATACCACAGGAGGACATTGACCACCTGATCAGAAGCATGCCTAGGCGCGTTGGAGAATGCGTAGCACATCAGGGTGCATCCACACATTATTAAAGGTCAAAGGGCTTTAAAGCAGTGCAATCATTTTGAAATTTTTATCATTTACTTATTATGCTTCATTAAGTACTTATACAAAATTTTATTAAAATAAAACCATTTAAACTGGGTGTTCGGATTTATATGTCTCTTAGTATACAATGGTTTCGACCATAACGTATAGCTTAAACATTTTAATATCAAACCGTTTGAAGTATGCCGACATATTTCCGCTCTGTCTTTTTTGTTCAGTCTTTAAGTAACATAGGTTTTAAATGTTCCTCGCTTAGGTAACCGTTATTGCGCTACATTTTACTGTGATTTCTGCCACACCAATGATGTGTCCAAGTCTTCCGTTCATAGGATGTGTACACTATTCAATATTTACTCAGTGACATTAGTATTATACCCAGAAAAAATAATTGCTTCAACTAGTTTTTCTTTGGCAAAATAATAACTATATTTAAAGCATGCTGAAATGTTATCTCTTACTTTTTTGTGAAGAAAGCAGTTTCTGAGAGCTGAGTAATACAGATATTTTTAGTTATTGCACTTTCATTTACTAGTTAACCATAACAAAATGCCTCGAGCTGGAAGACGTCCAAATTATCACCTTGTTAGCAACTTTGACAGGAGTAGAGTTTCTGCCTATCGAGATGTTAGTTTATTCTATCGCGAGATTGGACGCCGTGTTAATTGTACTGCAAAGACGGTAATGCGTGTGTGTCGTGTGTGGATAGAAGAAGTTAGAGGAACACGAAGAAGGCCGAGACCGTTCTTCTACTACGCGTCAGATCGCTGACCAATGGTTTGGAGAAGAAGGTGGACCTGTTACTATGCGTACACTCTATCGCCGCATTCGAGCTTCTGGACTTTTTTAATACTGTCCACGGTTAGTACGTTGGAAATGGAGCAGAGAACGGCAACATTAGGACGCAGAATGGTATTATGTCATCCTCAACGACGAATCGCGATTCTGTCTAGGTACGCACGATGGTCGTAGAAGAGTTACACGCCGCCGTGGAGAACGGCGTGATATTGGATTTGCTGTTGGGAGGCATGTACACAGGACTGTTGGAGTAATGGTTTGGGGGGCTATTACCTATGGTAGCCGATCACCCATCCTCTTTGTTCAAAGCATTGTGAGTGCTGCGCGTTATGTTGATGATGTTCTACAAATCACTTTACTGCCGTATGTAGACGGACATCCACAAGTACTTTTTCAGCAAGACAACGCACGTCCCCGTATTGCTCATCGAACTACGGAGTTTCTTCAAGAAGCAGACGTTAACGTTTTTCCGTGGTCACCCCGTTCACGGGACTTAAAAAATCCCATCGAACATGTGTGGGATATGATGTGGAGGAGACTATTATTCACTTTGCACCATCCGCCACAGACTCTGCCACAGCTAATCCACCAAGTTCGAGTTGCTTGGAATGAGGTACCACAACCAGACATTGATCATCTCATTTTGTCGATGCTTAGAGGTATACAGGAGTGCATGCAGCTGCGGGGTCACCAACACATTATTTTTTTTTCTTTTTACTTGTCAATAAAATTTCGTGAGAACGTTATCGTTTCATTTTTGATGTACGGCTACCCCATTGCCAAAAAATTGAGTTGAAAAAATAATTTTTTTTTGGTGTAACACTTCTAATGTCACCGAGTATATTTAATGACACTATACTATTTATGCTTGTTGATTATTTGATCATACGAGTATATTGTTATTCTTATCTATGTATCTGTTTACTGTGCTTTATTAATATATTTATTGATATTTCTTGCAATTGGGTAACTTATTATTACTATTATTATTACTAAAGGAACAACCAGCCTCACTTAAGCCCAGTATTTGCCCTTTAACAAACTCGCTAATATGTAGAAAATTTTCTCGTCTTCTGACTCTAGGGATAATGAACAGATTAAAGTGCAGCTCTCCACAACGTACTGTACGATGATAAATCCCAATTGAAGCTACAAAAGACAACTATCGCTTACTTACTTTTTGTAAGAACAGTTGATAACACAAAAACCACTTTACTAATATCTTAAAAAGCTGATCGTTTTCATCCTAACCCACACATACATAGGTTTACCTAAAAAACCTTTGTAATAAATCCATTATTACAGGATGTCCTTTTGTATGTCACTTAGTATATGTTGTGAGTATATCTCTGAAAATGCGAGATACTTACATTTTCATATTCCTCCTAGCAGCAGGTAACATATCATCTGTCTCTTTAAAAATATGCCGTCTGCAGTACAAAATTGCATCTGTCAAGTAATCTTTGACCTCAAAATTGTCTGCCTCTAGCTGGTACAGCTGCTTTTCTGTCTTATTTAGCTTTGTCCTGATACATTCCACATTTTTCGTATCAAAGTCCCACGCCTTCGTTGTGTAAAATTCAAACATTTCTGCGCCTTTTTTGATCCGCATTTGAATATTATACAAACTAAAAAAAATATTGAAATCATATTTATCAAATAACAGCTCAACTTGAAAACGGTCAACTTTAGAGGAAATTTACTAATTACGTGGGTGCTGATTCAGAAATAAAGTCTCCAAAAAGGTCTAGCCATTCTGGAAGGTGGGATCGAATACTCCATAACACTGCTACGCCCGATTTTTTCCAGACTATTGATTCCCCTGGTCGCGCTTTGCCAGTAATAATGTTCTAGCATCACATTTCCAAAGGTTTGAAATCGACTGGGCATGTAGTTTTTTATTGTGTATACATGTTTGTATGGCTCACAGAAATATGATTCTTATAGTTCACGTACAGAATCCAATTGGATTTCAGATATCGATTCGAGTGAGATGAAAACATTCCGCATATACTGCTTCATAATCGAAAAAAGAACAAAACGTGATCATTACATAAAGATAACTGTACCTCGTTACAATGAAAGTGAATTCATGGAACATTCCAGAGTGACTCGCAAAGTGGTTAAGGATATCTCAACTAAATATACGAACGCAGCATGTTCTTCAGAAAGACGACTGGATTAAATGAGAAGACATCTGCTTAATAGCAAACACTCATCTTTTTGTGGTTCGCAGGACATGAAACATCATCATTTCATCATGTATGTAGCAGATAGATTTGATATAATTATTAGTTGTTTATTTTACAGAATACGACGTGTAATCAAGCTTAAGAACTTATCATATCTGGAACTGTAATTCAATGGCAAATACGATGCTGCCACTGTCAACTCAAACGTATTTTAACAGAAACATGTGTTCTAGCAGAATCAAATTTGAAATCTTTTGAAAACTTGAAACTAGTCTCTTGACAACGCACGCGCGTTGTAGGAGTTCACCATCGAGTGTATAGTCTAGTGTTACCAGGCATATTTGTCGAACCGAAAAAAAGAAATCAGCAGACAGTGTCGTTGAGATTCAGTAGATTCAAGGATAAAATCGGTAGGAGGAAAAAATCAGGGCCGTTTCAAAGTCAGAGGTGGATCAAGGGACTTTGCGTCATGAAAAAAGTATATTTTTGTATTGCGCGCACATACACAACACAGGTTCTTTTGATAGCATCTGTTCCTGAAAAAATCTCAAGTTCCTTATGACAACTTGTACAATGAACATACTGGTAATTCTTCAAACTCCTTTGCAACCATCATTGCAACTCCGTTTGCCATTCTTGTTTATAAGATTCTGGTTTCTGTTTAATTTCTGAACTTGAAGCCCTATCACATGACATTTTAATTTAATATTCAATTACATTCAGACGAGCTTTGGTTTCTTTATTACTGCCTGGTGATGCGATAATGACTGTGATCTACCAGTCTGTAGCTGTTGAATACGAAAACCAATATAGGGAGAGCTGAATAAGCGATGTGCGTACATAATTGTAGGCGACCCAAATCTACGTATCTCATGTGTCCGGCTGCTCTAGTGTACGCTTATGTATGACTGGTATGGGGCATAAAACTACACGGACTACGAGATTTATTTTAGCTTTATTTTTTGTTCTAGCTCTGAGGACGTTTCGCTAAATAAGGCTTCATTTCTGTAGGAACACCGAAAAATCGGTAGGTTCGGCAACACTATTACCAGGTCTTTCGATTCTTCAGCAGCAAAGCATGAGCAGGGAAAATCTAGAGTGGGGGAAAAGCCGCAGGCAGCAGTGTTGCCGGATTTCGCACCGCACCTTCCAGTGTGGCTGGAGCTATCTGGGTACCTGCTTTCTCTCATCAACCCTCATACTTATTGTTCAGAATGATCCGAAAAATACAAAACAAATCTTGACCGGAGCAAAAAAAGATTTTTTTGTAATTTGTTAGAAAAAATTATTTAAACAAATTGGCATAAGGTTACCGCCATTTTTATAAACTCGCAATGTACTTACATTGGTTTGTATCCTAAGACGACAAAAATCATATCTATAAACATTGCTGGGATAATTTGGAACAGAAATATATTGATTTTATTGTACAATCGACTTTTCGTCATTGCTCCTCCCGGATACCACATGATGTTATTGAATGGTACCCTCGTGTTGATTACGTCCTTTCCATGCTCCATAACATCTGTCCATGTCAGTTTGATATCCCTCTGCGGCACGCAAAGATTGTATACCCATGGGGCATCCCTAGAAACATTTATGAACTGTAAAGGGTGCAGTGTCAAGCATATACTTTATTTGTCTTCGTTTCGGTGTAGACAATGCCTATACAATTTATACAGTGTATACAATGTATACATATATTACGACCGCTCCTTTGTCCCGAGGGTGTCGAGATTGGGAACAAATCTACAAGAGGAAGCTTTTCCCAGTTCTACTAACCTTAGGCAGTTTAAAAATCGAATTAACAAAATTTCTGTGGGATCATCATAGCAACCGCGGTGCCCCTACGTTAAGGCTTCTGCCTGCGCGGCTGCTTCGGTATCAAAAAACACGCTGTTGTCTTCAAATCTATCGATTTTCGCCTCCTTCCGGAAGCTTCTACTACTCCTACTACTCCTTTAGATTCTTTTGAAAAATCTGATAAAGTATGTACTTACTTGTGTGCTAAATAGTACCAAGAAAATACCATAAGTGCATTGACAGTAGCGTCAATAGGTACTAGGTTGGCATAAGATTTGCTGTCCATGTACATGGATCTGATGACGCCCTTCCCGGAAGCTGCGAAAAGTCCCATGGGACCTTGCAGATTGTTGAACCATCCTGGCAGAGGGTCTCGAAGGGCAGGTATAACTAAAATTAGAAATAGTTCCATCAAGAAATAGTGCGAAGTGGCAAAAAATGCAAAGTCCGTAGAAAAAGAACCAGTTATACCCTATCGAATTAAAACAGCGCCTTAGGCCGAATCGTTAGTCGTTCCACCTTTATGGCCTCCTTGATTTTCACAGTCTCTTCTCTCCGTCAGAAAGGCTGAGGTATTTCTAGATTCCGACTGTCCTGTGTCAGCGTCTGTGCTTTCCTATTATGAGGTTGTTTTGTTTTCGAGTCTGAAGAAACTTCAGGCTGGTAAAACAGATGATACAACTCAAATTCCATTAGCTTGAATTTTTGTAACATTCGAAAAGAAAACATATCTAACCTCAAAATAGAGCGCTGACATGGAATAGTAGATATCTAGAAATACCCCTAGCCTTCAGGAGGACAGGAAAAATAATGAAAATTAAGGAGGCCATAAAGGTGTCCTAGAATTGTAGGAACGACTGACGATACGGCCCTTAGACCTTAGATCCTGGAAAGAAGATAGTTGTTATGCTTTCGTTCGTTGTCCGAGGGTGATGAGTTGCCAAAACAACACGCAACAGCTGTCCATGATTGGCTGTCTTAGGTTGGACGGACGGAAGCAGCACATTTAAACTAGATCCAATAAGAAAAAAGTCAGTTACGAGCATGAACAGAGAAATTAAACCAATCAGGTCCGTCAATTAGGTTCGAACAATTTGTCCATAACATTCTTTCCCTGGCCTATCCTTAGTACCTTCCATCTGGCAACGTCGCGTCGCCTTTCTCCAATATCTGAAAGCATGATGCGTCACACGCAGCAGAACGCCAATACAGCACCAGTCATGCATACATCGAATGTAGGAAAACAATCATTACTAATGTTTCAGTTACCCACGAGGACTTAACAAGGAATATTTTTTTAAACTCAGTAATGATTGTTTTGTATCATAATATAATGTCTCGAATTAGTCCAATTTTATTTTAGAGATATAAGAAACCGAGTGATTAGGATTTCTTAGTTAATCCATCTTCATGCTCTAGGATATGTATGAAAATTTGAGTCAGTTTATTCAAAATCGAAAACTTTGAACTTTACTTTTATCAGATTCCATAAAAATCAATAATCATCTAATTTTATTACATATGATTAATTAGACAATATTTGTTTCAAGCTATTTTGGTAAATATTAATAACTCTAAACATTTCAAATCTGATACTGTTATTTCATTTTATCAACTGTGGATTATACACCAAGAGACTGAATGTGATGCCTGGTTTGCAAATAAAATCTTTGGATCATTTTAAAAAAGCAACTTATACATACATTTCTCTAATAAATCTCAATGTGCATTCGTAAACATAAACTCAAGCACTTGAGTTGGGGGTATCGGAGGAGACAAAAGGTGACAAAAACAGGAAGGCGGCAGTCCATCATGGCGAATGGCGACGGTCTGACGTGTTCTGTTGCCAACTCGTGATTAATAAATTCGCTGGATGTAAGCTTGAAACTCGCTAACTAGGTAGTATTTTCTCTAAATAATGGAGTCACGCATATATTTATTACCTATTATCGACTCTAGCTTTCGGTAACGGCCCACAAAAAAAAAACACTGGCTATTCGGAGATTCGACAATTTATCTAAACCCGATCCTTTTGCGCTGAGAAGACCTAGGTTTTCCGTTAAAAAATCCGCTATCGGAAATTGACATTTTTTTCCGTCAAGTACAACCCACATTTACTAGATCTAGCAGAAAATCCGCAAAATTGACAACATCGGATTTCTTTCACATCAGGTTTGTTCTGATTGCCCCAAATTTAAGATCAGTTGCTCTTTCTCATATGCACTGAAAACCAAATACCACTGACGTCGTATTGTGCGATACGTATGTTAGAAAGAGATAGAAGCACCTCGTTGCCTAGCAACCCGATTGACGAGGCTGCGGACGCCATCGGCGCACTCTTTCTAACATACGAGTACATGTTGGAAGCTTCGCGCGCTTATCTCTCGTACACATTACGGCGTTAGCCAATTTTGAACCTCGTCGTATTATGTCGCATGTGGGTGTCTTCTTTTCTTCGCCAATATATTTTTCATGGATTGGCTAAACGGGACAACACAAAGTCATCAGAAATGTACTCATACAAGAAATGATATAATAGTCGAGAAAATTATTTTTGGACTTTCTCGTCGTAACTACACCCATTGATGAGCATACGTGTATACTTTATCTGAAGTCACTTGAAATAGCATAAAAACCTTTGGTCGGCGCGTCCTTTGTAATTTCATGACGTATCATAGGCGTGCGGTCATTTATTTAGAACGATAATAATAATGTTTTTATATCACAATAAATGGATTTTACTATGTTCTTATTTTCTTGATTTGGGATAAAAAATACTTATATTGGGAGTTTAATTTATGTTGACTGAAAGTTAAGATATGGAAAAATTACAGAATTCCAACGTTTGACATAGGCAAATATTTACATAGCAGGTAGGTATATAAAAAGGTATATAAAGACTTACATTATAGGTATTTATATATCATCCTCGCCTTCGGAGCTGTCGCTAGAGTCATCTTGTAGAGGAATCACAACGGGATTTACAGGAGGCAAAACACAATATTCATTTTCTTTTTCAATAATATTGAGGGGTGTGATTATGTTTTCTTACTTTTTTATTTAAAGCAGCCCAGACCAGCTCAATCGGGTTAAAAATGCAGTAATAGGGAGGTAGACGTAACACTTCATGGCCATTTTGCTGAAGCAGATTGTCAACAACAAACTCTTTTTCAAATTTTTGTCTTTTAATAAGATCCAATAATATGGCTTTGGTTGATTTTTGTGGTATTTCCATTCCCTTATCCTTCATAAAATCAATAATGTCTTGTTTTTTGTGCCTGTATTCGGAATTTTGTTTTTCTGTCGGGAATGGTATGGCGCATTGTCCATAATAATCACTGAATTTATTTGGGGAAATGTTTGGTATTAACTGCTGCTCTATCCACTTTTCAAATAAGTCGGAGGTCATGTCCTCATGATAGTCGGCACATGATTCATTGATATTTTTGGCAGATAACAGCAAGGCATTAGGTATAAATCCATTTTCATTGCCAGCATGGAGAATAATGATTCGTTTTCCACGGTTGCATGGTGCATTTAAAATGCACTTGTTGCTGTCGTCAACCCAGCCGTACTGCACAACATCATGGGTATCATACGACGTTTCATCCAGGTAAATCAGATTTATTTTCTGCTCTCTATAGATTTTAACTTTGTGCAAAAATTCTTGGCGCAATTCAACGATTCGAGACGACTCCATAATCACCATTCTTTTATCTAATTTTTTGTATTGAAAACCACACAGTTTTACAATACAGTGCAGTGAGTCTAAGCATTTGTAATTATAAAAATCTTCAGGATAATCTTTTAATTTATCCCGTATCATTTCCAACGTGGGCACCAAATTTTCTTTATAAAATCCGTATATTATACGACGAATATCTTCCTGAAAATCCACCTCTATTCTTTTTAATTGTTGCCCTATGCGCTTTCTGTGGAAGGAATGGTTGACTACATCTCCCCTTTTTATAACCCGATAAATGGTAGACCGACTGATTTTTGTCAGGATACAAATTCTGTTTAAAATTTGATTTTGCGAGGAATCTGGATTTTCGTTTTTCAGACAATCATACATATTTAGGATTACTCTTTGGGTCTGTTCCTCTAAATCTTTATGAAAGAATTCTGCCTGCACAGGTTCATCAACCATCTCCTCGTGGCTTTTTCCATTTTCCCAAGGTCTCCAAAGAGCCATATTTAGGACACACAAGAACAATCAACACAACAATTAAATCAACAAGTAAACTGAGTATTCAAAAGTCAAAAACACACAAACTAATAAAATCTATGAAAAAACACGGACAGACTAAAGAAAACACGTTTATTCACCGCTACACTGCACTGGCTAAACTGTTTCAATTTTCAGTAGCCACCTGCACTTGTTCGGAGCTCTGAAATACACGCTTTCTCATTGGCTATGTCCACGCATAGGCGTGCTTTACTCCACGTGGACCGGTGAAACTGCCTTTGATCTTATACGGGGGATATTTGCTGCGAAATTTGGCGATTTTTATAAAACGCACCCGGTATTTCACAGTGTTTCAAGTGACTTCAGATAAAGTATACCTATTACATTGATAGGGCCATGGATGCAATAAACCAATATATTGAAAAGATCTACTTATCTAAATATGAATCAAGTCTCATAAAATATTTTAAAAATTTCAGAAACAATATGAATGAAATATTCAAACATAAATTGCGAAATATTACAAATACCCTCCCCAATCGATTATAACCTCCAACCCCCGAATGTTGGGCCTCACAAATCTTTTTCTGAAAACGATCATTACCCTATGAAGCGTCAAAAAACGAAGTTTGAGCATTTTATTTTATTCGTTTTTGGCCTTTTGCTCCTCCGCCACTAGACCGATTAACAAAAACGACAAAGCTTTTTTGTGTGCTTTTTTGAAAATTTCATCGAATCCGAGCGGTTGGTTACTCTTCAAGTTATAGGCGGATCAAGAATTAGAGGACACGCATACAGACCAATAGACCGACGGTTTTTCGTGATGTACATGATTGTGATATAACATCCAGAAACACAATATCTCATTTTCGAAATGTTTCGCGATTACAAAATTAAAGTTGATTTAGTGCAGTCCATCTAAGACGCAAAATTGCATCTCAATAACTCAACAAGCGTCGTCCATCTGCATGTTTATTACAAATATCGCCAAGCAGATTGGCAATGTACTTCATACGCAATTTCGACATGTGATTATAGACCATGGTTAAAAAATTAAATCGACTATTCAACTTACTTGAAATATAGTTCTAACCGACTGTATATAATTTTCATGGTCTTTTTATATTTTTGTTTGCTACAATATTTCGAGAACGGTCAAAACTATAAAAAAAGTTACTAATGACATTTTTATTAAGAATGA